TACTAGAGACAGTAAAGATTTGCATTTCAGAAGAGGAGAGAGCAAGGCTAAATTCCCACACCTCAGGTTTCATCCCAACATGAAGGTAAAGAGAATGCTCTTCCTTCCACCAGGACACGGTACCTAAGGTCTTGTTCTTGTCACTCTTGCTTACTGACCATCCCCGTGGCTGTACCTTTCCTTGGCAGATTAGGATACGACCCTTGCCTCTTCCCACTTAAGCCAAAGTACAAATGCACAAAGCACATTTAAACCAAAACCACCAAGGAATGAACAGCTGGTGGTTCTGATAAAGCGAGAAATGTAACCCTGGAAATGCATTCTGGGAAAAAAAATCAATGTGAAGGAAATCAAAGAGCTTATCAGTCTCAAACCTCAAACTTGAATTGCATTTGGGCTGCAGGTAATGGAGTGACTATACTGTTTAAAGAGATGAGAAGTCTATTATACATAAAAGAAATCCAAAGGTAGTGTATGGCTGGTATGATTATTCATTGTGGAACCTTACACCTTTGTCTTTGTATGTTTCCCATTGCCTTCCATCTCCAAAGTTATTTTATGTTTTAATATGGCAATTATAGTTCCAGACTTCGGGTTTTCACTCTAATCAGAAAGGATTAAAGCAAATTTCACAGGCAAAGACAAAAAGACACTCTTCATAGGGAACTTTTCCAGGAAGTCAATTCTTCAATCTGCACTTTGATCTCATTGATCAGTTCCTGGATATAGGTTAAGGGGTGTGGAGTAGCATGATACTTAGTGGGACAGGACGACACTCTGAACAAAGGAAGGTCTTGTTGCTATAGAAGAAAAGGAAGATGGGTGCTGGGCATGCAACTCGTAGTGTCTATTAAATAAAGAAAATGCCAGCTGAATTTGAAACAAGAGTGGTTCAATAATAATGTTCTTGAGGCTGGAGCCCAAAGCAGAGAGGCTCATAGGAGATAAGAAGGAAGGGGGTCTAAACATGAGTTGACCTCTAGAATGTTTCCCTTCTTTGCCTAGCATGGAGCTCTCCATGAGTGGGCACAACTATCAGGCTACCTAGGAATATCACTCAAATTTCCCAGAACTGGCTTTGTTTGTGTGTATGTGTATGACCTGTGTGCACCTTTGTATATGTGAGTGCAGGAACATGTATGGAGGTCACAAGTATTCATCCCTGCCTCCCACCTTACGACAGGGTCCCTTTGTTATTTGCCTGTGACTACACCAGGCTAGCTAGCCCATGAGCTTCAAGGGATTCTCCCGTCTCTGCCTCCCATCTCACTGTAAGAGTATTGAGATTACAGATGTGTGCTACCAAGCCTGGCTTGACACGAGCTTTATGGATTCAGACCTTCACACTTACACGCTGCATGCTTTACTTGCTGAGCTGTCACCTCAGCTCCATAATTTGTTTTTGAAAATGCTCTGCATGGGACAAGGGACAGCAAGTTTTTCAGATCATCTGTGAGAACCAACTGTTTATTTTTCTTCCTTTTTTTCCCCTCTGTGTTTTTAGAAAAGGCCTCATTATGTAGCACTATTGGCCTGGAACTCACTATGTAGACCAGGTTGGGATTGAATTCATAGAGATCTGCCTTCCTCTGCCTCCCAAGTGCTGGAATTAAAGACATGCACCAACACCAGCAACCAATCGTTTATCCTAAGAAAGCCATCCAATTTAACTTCTATATTATAGTTATATTTTAATAAGGACCATCCTCAGGAAAGAGCACACCAACTGATTATCTAATATCAAACGATCAGTCCTAAAAACATACATAAAAGTAACAGTATATAGACTGAGTAGGTTTTATTCAGGAGTGTGTGTGTGTGTATGTATATTTATATGCATGTGATAACAATTAGTGAAAAAAGGAGCCATGACTTTGAAAGAGAGCAAGGAGGGGTGTATAGGAGGGCTTGGAGGGAGGAAAGGGGAGGGGAAATGATGGAATTATAATCTCCACAATAAAAGAAATTTTTTATAAGAAATAAATGTAAGTCTGGCATGCAGGTTACTGGAACAGAGCTGTTAAAACCTTTGTGACTGTCTGCATTACAGGACTGTCTTTTGTTATTCACAATAAGCCTCATTCCACCCTACTTGAGTTCGCACTCATGAAGAATCAACCACATAATTAGATGTTTGGAACTTTCAGCCCTACCCTCTAACTTCTTGACCTCTCCAGAAGAAAGGAGCTAGAGACCGAGTTAATCACCAAAGCCAGTGATTTAACCAACCATGCCTATGTGTTCTAGTTTGCTTCCTGTTACTATGATAAATGCTATGACCAAAAATAACAAAGGGGAAGAAAGGGTTTGTTTCAGCTTACAAGTTATAGTCCATCATTGAGAGACCAGGGCAGGAACTCCAGCAAAAGGAGCTTGAAGCAGAAACCATGAAGGAAGGCTGCTTACAAGCTTACTCTCCCTGGTTTGCTTGGCTACCTTTCTTATATAGCCCAGGCCCACCAGGCTAGGGATGGTACCTCCCACAGTGGGCTGGGCCCATCTATATCACATAGCCCTACAGACATGCCCACAGGCTAGTCTGATGGAAGCAATTGTTCAGTTGAAGCATCTCCTTTTCAGTATGTCAGGTGGACCTCTGAAGCTAACTATAGCACTATGAAATGAAACTCTAAACTCTGGAGTTTGGAGACCTTCTGAATTGAGAGAAATATGGAGATACCTGGAGGGTGAAGTACCTGAAGATAGGTTGGAATCTCCAGACTCCTCTTCCATATTGTCAACCTAAAAAGTACATCTCGTATTTTAAAGGAAATAGTAGTTTATTCTAGAGCTACTTTGAGTAGCTGTGGCCCAGGAACACGGATTTAGGTTATCCCAACTTCCATGCTTCAACATAGAAGCAGTATCACAGGGTTTTTATAGTTTTACAGAACAAAGAAAGTCATAAATCAAGGCAACTTTAAAATACACTTGTGGGTACACCAGAGAGGCACATGCAATGAGATGGGAGAGCTATTTTATAGGCTATCTGATGACATTCCTAGCTCTCCGATTGGCAGAAGCCAATGTTCTGCTAAGTTAATAGCTTCTAAAGGGTTGTTTTTTTTTTTAATCTATTATCATGAGGTGTTAATTCAGATACAGAGTGGGGCAAGGAATGGCTGTTCCAGAAGGCTAAAACTAGAACAAGATAAAGTAATTAGCCTCTGAATCTACAAACAATCTCTTCACAGTACTGAAATTCCAATTGGTCAATCAGTCTCTGTAGACACACACACACTCCTTCCAGGAGTTTTGTTCACAGCCAGATTCTTTTCAGGAATTTTCATTCATAATACTTGCCCTATATATGTCTTTCATGTTCCTTGATTATATTTATGATAAACTATTAATAACAAGTAAAGTGACTTCCCAAGCGAAGAGCTCTTCTTGGTAATTATGAACTCAGAGAATTGTCAAAAACCCTGATTTACAGCTATTCTGAGGCTAGTGTGTGAAGTAGGGAGCAATCTTGTGGGGCTGAGATTTTAAAATGTGAGGCATTTACTAACTCCAGACAATGTCATGGTTGAATTGGTGGGTTGATGTCTGGAAAGCAGAGTAGTTGGTTAATGAGAAGAAAGTTCCATGTTTGATATGAAAGTGTCCAGTAGAAGAGCAATATTTTGTTTATTTAGTTGCTTTGTTGGTGTTGGTTCTTAAATCATTCTGTGCAGATATTTGGAAATAGCAATTCATCTTGCCTTTTTGAAATAATGCTTAGTTCAAATATGCATGATACCCAAGAGCAAGACAACTTAGAGAAAATAACTGAGTTTGACTTAATTTGGCCTTCTTGTCACTCTTGTGTTTGTATGTCTTAGCCAAACCTAGTAAAAAAAAAAACTAATGCATATTTATAGAGAATTTCCAAGCCATTGAAGAGGTAATAAAGGATATTTGGTTTCTGGGACTGGAGAAACAGCTTGGTTAGTAAAGTTCTTGCCTATAAGCATGATCCCCAGAAACTATGGGATTTTTGTTTAGTTGGTTTTGGGGTTTGTTTTTTGTTTTGTTTTATTTAAAGGCATACAGAGATAGGCAGCTCTTTGGAGCTTTTCTGGCTAGCCACCCAAGGCAACTTGGTGAGTTCCAGGACAGTAAGAGATGGTATCAGAGTAACGACACCTGAGGATGTTCTCTGGCCTCCACACATGAACACATGCCCCACAACTGACTCCCCAACCCCCACACCCCCACACCCCCACACCCCCACACCCCCACACCACCACACCACCACACAGAAAGATGTATGGTTTCTGCTAAGACATTTTAAATGATAGATACTTTTTTTCTTTCATTTAGAAAACTAGCTTCAAGGGACTGGAGAAATGGCTCAATGGTTAAGATCAAATACTGTTCCTAGAGGACTGAGTTCAGTTCCCAGCAGCCACATTGTGGCAGTTCACAATCACCTGTAATTACAGTTCCAGGAGATCTGATGCCCTCTTTTGATATCTGCAAGCACATGAATTCAAAAGCACCCCTAACACACATACACACAATTTAAATTGTTTTAAATCTTTCATTCAAAGAACTGGATTTCAGAGTAAGAGGTGTAGGGCATGATATGTTTATGAGGTTCAGATTTTCAGAGGTTTTCCAATGGCAAATGCCAAGGGCAGGACTGGATACCATAGTGACCAGTGTTTTCATAGGTTTGCTAGGCTTATCCATTAAATCTCTCTGCAGTAAGGCCTCTGGTATGGTCTGTCTCCAAACTTACAGTTTAACCAGCCATTTACAGAAGAAACAATGCAAAGGTGACAGTTTTGGAATGTTAATGTCAGACATTTGTGTTTGCCTCAATTCTTGAAAACTTTGATAAAAGTGCAAATAATATTTACTCTAATTCTGAACCTGTACCTTAATGTATAAGGATTATTGTCTTCGTATGGTAATGCAGTTTTCCTTGACTGAATATATACTGCTTTTATTTGCGGGGTATGCTTGTAATCACTGCTGATTTCCTGCACCAATTCCTTTGCTTCTCAATGCAGATCTAACTGGCTCAAAAGTCCAGGTACGGACTCTGACCAGCTCTTCCGCATGGTGGCTGAGGTCTTCATTCTGTGGTGTAAATCTCACGTAAGGACACACTAGGCTCTGGACTGAGAATCGTTTGGGCAGGTATAGATCTGGAGAATCTTCCTTTTAATGCTTGCTTTTTTTTTTTCTTTTCAACCTTCCTTTACCTTGCCCTGCTTTAGAACTTCAAGAGGGAAGAACAAAATTTTGTGATTCAAAATGAAATTAATAACTTGGCATTTTTAACCGGAGACAGCAAAAGCAAGATGTCAAAAGTAAGTCCTCAGAATTCCGTCTCAGGGATGCTCTAACCTTGGCCTCGTGGGTCTAGTTCATAGTCTGTGCGGCTTAGTGGCACATCCAGATTGGGTCCCACCATATAACCAGCAACCTCTACTGCTGTTTCTTTAGACTGTGCCAGAAGAAGCTCCTGTCCAATAAGCATAGTTATCATGTTTTATGAATAAAGAGGTGCTTGTATATCAGAAAAATGAAGTCTCAAGACTTGCCCAAGGCATTTGAGAGGTCTCGAAACCGACAGTGCTATAAATGGTTTAAAAAAAAAAGTGCATCCAGTACAGCCACACTCCAAAAGTGCAGATGCGCAAAGCCACCTTCTGATGGGCTGGGAGGAAATGACCTTCACACCTTCACACCTCCACAGCACACACCCGGGCATCATGTTTTCTTTCTGTTTGGAACACCAACATCTGTCTTATTCCAGATGTGCTGACCTCTTAATGCCTGTGTTCATTTTCCACGACATTTTCACTTAGAAAGTCAAACATCTGTCCATCTCCTTGCAGGAGATGTTTGAAAGAGGGCATGTCACTCTACTGTCCGGGGGGTGGGGGGAGAGTGGGGGGGGAGCTAACTTATAGGAGGAAACTGTGATACAGAAGGGGGACAAAGTGGACTTGCACCTCCTTCTCAGTCAGCTCTGTACAATGAAGCTTCCTTCGGTGTCTTGACTGGAGAGAACCAGCCACGCTTCTTCAGTTGCACATACAAAAGCCAAGCTCCCTTGGCTGTGATGTCTCCTTCCTGGCATTGTGGCTCACTATTGGCTCTGTGTCCCTGAGAACTGTGCCTCAGGGAGGTTTGGCTTCCATCTCAAATGTCAGCAGCCTGTAGTAGCTAAGAGACAGCCCTCATGGCTGGTGGTGCTGCCTGTGAGGAACATGAAGGTGAAGTGTGCATGGGACCCCTCAGAAGTGAAAGGTGGATCTGGCAAGACGGGAATCATGGGCTTGTAATGAAGACCTTGAACATCCCTCTAGTAACCATTTTGGACAGATGACCCATGTCTTGGCACTGCAAGAAAGAGGCTATTATGATACCACAATGAAAATTTGAGTGCCTGGGGCTGTACCAAATGGGGCAGCTGGCTCCCATCAGCTGCAGCTACTCTGCACTGCCTCTTCTGTCTTTCATCTGTTTTAACACTAGCACTCTTCCGGTATCCAAAATTTGACTGTAGAGATTACAATCTACTCTCTAGTATACACCAGAGTACACTTCTCACATATGCTGCCTAATAAAGTTGACATTGAAAATTGCTCATATAGAGAGCAGGGAGATGATATTTGAGGAGACTCTTGGCTGCAAAGGCATCTTATGGTATCTCCTTTGGTGCTTTAGGTATACTTATCTGATTTTCCACAATCCTTCTTGCATTCACTTGTTGATAGAAACAGCTGTTCACTTGAGGAATACAAGCCCAGGTTTCCCAGCTTCCTATGACTCCAGCTTAGCTAAACTGCCTTTGCAGGGTCTTGCAGCCATCACAAGCTGCCCTTTAACCCAGACTTCTTACAGAAAGTCAGTAAATCCCAAGCAGACACCATGCATTGGGTAGATCCTCTGGCTCAAAACTGAGCCAGCCAGCATCCATGACAACCTGATGCAAGGATTTGGAGTACAAATGGGGAAAGCTATCTCAGGCCTCTGGTGATGAATGGATCTTCAAGGTCCTTGAGTTTATAAATGAATGAGGCAACAGAAAATCATTTCACAACTCAACTCACCCACTAACAAACTAACATAACATTCTTTCATTCGTGATGCTAATTAGGAAAGGGGGCATTTGCTAGGCTCATTCACAATACTGAATAAGGAAAGGGGGGCATTTGCCTGGTCAGAATGGTTATGTTCAAAACATGGGTATCTTTCCTCTTGGAAAGGTTCATCTTTAGGAGCAAACTCTACTTCCACTGACATTCTGTGCCAATTGTTTTTGAGCCTTATTAGTCACATTGTCCCTGTTGCCTCAATTAGAACAGAGAAAATAGTAGTAAATAGACAAGAAATAGAAAGGAAAAAGTTATGTCCTTGGCTGAGCTGCTCACTAGGGCTTTGTTTCATTCACTTAATCCTCAGAGTCCATCTTTCCAGTTTGTAATGGGGTTGAGTTTACTACCTGACTTTTCTAGGTTCTACCAAGAGACTCTGGTTAAAATTCAGTTTTCATGAGTATCTGTCAGGATATCACTTGATAAACACATTAAAGCAGACACATTGCCTCCAATAAATAGCCATTTCTGGTATCTGAGGATAGAGAACTACATATGGGAAGCCAGGGAAGGGACTTCCTTCCATATCAGTTGAATTCCTCTTGCCCTTGCTTCTGTGCAGTCAGACGTTCTCTGCCACCTGGTTGGAATGGGCACCTGTTATCTGTGCTTGCGTTTGTCTCTGTTCTCAGTTGCATTCTGGTGTTGTATAAACGAAGTTGCCTTTGGTGCATATGGCAGTCTCGGTGGAGGTATCTGTCTGTGAATGCTGCATGTTATGCACTGCATAAGCCATGCCTGATGGCAAGGAAGCACAAGAAATATACAGTGGGCCACACTGTTCCCACCCGACTTACTGAAGATCCTTTCAAAGACATGTTATTTTGCTGGCAGCTCACACACATTTCTTCTTTGAAAGCTCATTGTATATTTTGTTTATAAAGCACCGGTTTGTGAATATATGTTAAGCTAATGTGACTAGCTGAGCAAATATTTTTTATTTGGTTTGGTTTTTAAATGTACTTTGTTTTCTGGCCATATGGCAGCAGCTTCCTCGGAGGGGAATGGTAAGTTAGAACGCATTTAGCCAAAGAAATGTTAAGCCAGCCCTTGACCAATTTTGTAAACACTAAAATGCACCATTGAGATACAAGAATTGGGATGTGTTTATAGTGAGTTGAAAAAGGACAGGAATTGTCTAATAAGGTATATTTGAATGTTTTAAGAGAATACAAAATCATGTGACTTTTGCTCAATGTGCTCAAGTACACACACACACAGACATACACGTACACACACATACATTATTCTCTTTTACTTCCTCATTCTGCATCCTTTCTCTTTTATTTTCTTTGTTCTTACACTTTTGAAGTATCTCACATTCATACACTCATGTTCTCTCCCTCTCTCTCTCCCCCTCCCTCCCTCCTCTACCCCTCTCATACACACACACACACACACACACACACACACACCCTTTCTCCTCTACTGTCTGTCCCTTCCCTCCTATCTGTCCCCTTTTCTGTGATCTTGATCCTCCCTTTCTCCCCCTCCACCCCCAATCCCAACCCCTGTGTCTCAGACTGATTTCTAGAAATTCTTTTTTCCTCTAACATCTCATGTTGAGTTGACTTACATTAACTTCACTTACCCTCTAGATGGTGTAAGGACTTCCCACAGGGCAGGTCTGCCTTTGATCAGAGCAGACCTGATGTGAGCTCCTGCGCTATATTGGCCACAGACAACACCAGGCAATGCATCTTCATCAAACCCCACATCTCAGAAAAACACGAAGACTGCAAAGTCTGGCTTTGGATTTTTTTTTCCCTGAAGGTCTAGACAGAAAGTCATTTGTTTGATCATAAAGTGCTGCTGTAGTTTATGACCGAAGAGTGGATAAGTGGAGTTGTTCGGAGGACATATGAACCAGAATTAGAGAATTACCATGAGGTAATTAATCTTAGCTATATGTGAAGAGTAAAGGTATAGCCTTCAGGATGTAGGAACCTTTGACTTTAAGTGTGTTTAAAAGATGCAGTGTAAGAAGGGAGAGGCTCTGCTGTTTAGGTTGTGGAGTGACCCCAAGTCACTCTGGACAGTCCTACACTACCCCCAGAACACCTCCCCCTCTTTATTTCCTTCTCCCTTCCTCCCTCCATCCCTCACTCTGGACAGTCCTACACTACCCCCAGCACACCTCCCCCTCTTTATTTCCTTCTCCCTTCCTCCCTCCATCCCTCACTCTGGACAGTCCTACACTACCCCCAGCACACCTCCCCCTCTTTATTTCCTTCTCCCTTCCTCCCTCCATCCCTCACTCTGGACAGTCCTACACTACCCCCAGAACACCTCCCCCTCTTTATTTCCTTCTCCCTTCCTCCCTCCATCCCTCACTCTGTTTAGAAACAGAGTCTTACTATGTAGTCTGGGCTGACCTCAGATTCTATCCCACAGCCCAAGCTGTCCTTGAACTCTTCTTCTCTCTGCCTCAGCCTCCAGTGCTGGCATTAAAGATGTGGATCATCATGCCCAGCCCAAAAGTGTAGTAAGGTCTCTTTGTTGTCCTTGTTGTTTACTCTGTTTTCGCTCCTTCAATTTCAGTGCTTAGGATGGAAGCCAGGGTCTTGAGTGAGCTATGTACATCCCAGGCCTTCCAGTAATTTTTAAATGTATTTTTATTAATCGCAAATAGTGAACACAAAAAGGATTCCAGTTTTTGTTTTGTTTTGTTTCTATGTATACTTTGGGGAGGGGGGGATTGGTTTGGTTTTAGTTTCAGTTTTTTTTTTTTTAAGAGAGAGAAAGAACATAAAATTTGGTGGATAGGGATCTTGGAGGAATTGGGAGAGGGGAAAGAATATGATCAAAACATAGTGTATGAAAAAAATTTAAATATAAAAAAAGAAAAATGAGGGAAAATAGCACATTAGGCTAATGGTTTGTACACCAAATATACCAAATGAACTTGAATAAAAAATATTTTAAAGATTTTTGAAAAGATTCAAAAGTGAATATATATATATATATATATATATATATATATATATATATATATATATATATATCCATCTATATGAATGCAAACCTTTTAGAAGAAGCAAAGGCATTGCCCTTAACTTGATTCTCTAATCTGCTGGAGTGGACAATGTGGTGGATGGGAGAAATTAAAACTTGAGGTCTTTGGGTACATGCAAATTGTCTGCAGCCCCCTGTGGCTAAAGGAAGTAAAAGAGGAGACACTGTAGATATAAAGAATTGCTGTGAGTAGCTACTGGGGGTGGGATCTACAGAGCATACACTCTGGAAGGCTGGTCTCTGAGGTAACTTCCTCCCAGGCCAGAAATGCTTGATGAGGATATATATATAATTCTTTACAGGCAAATTAACCTGCATCCTAACCTCTCCTCAGTCTTCATGCTATGCTCATGTGAACTGTTGAGTTTCTGTTCTGCTGACTGAGCAACTGGGCCCAGGAAGCCATGAATGACACACTGCCTGATGCTTTGGATCCCTGCTTTGACTGACTGACTCTTCTTCTTTCTTTTCCTTTGTCTTTCCACACAGGCCATGCAAGTAAAGGTACAGGTCAAATGCATGATGTGTCTTTTCTGTCCTAGTAGTAGAGAGAGGTGCCAGGCTCCATCCCCCTCCACACTGTGGTCACCATGGGGGTGGTACAGATGGATTTTCCAACCTGTGGGTCCCCAGGGAAGACAAGTAGCCTGTCCAAGAGTGAATGGAGGCTTATCCACCCTTGGGATGGGGAAGTCAGGCAAGCTTTGCTTTAAAGGAGGTCTCCTTGCATTTTCTACTCCCTTCCCCCAGAGGCCTTCTCTCCTAGTTTGGCGGCCACCATACTGCCAGAGATAGGGAGGACCAGCAGGGCTTGGGAGCCTCAGAGCCTCACTCTACGGCCATGGCACCAGGTTCACATTTCTAATTTCTGTTAGTGACCCCAATCCTCTCACACTGTACATGTGCTGCCTCTGATTCAAGCTACCATGATTGGAGGAGAGTCTCCCAGGGACTGAACTCAAGTTTGACATCAGCAGATAACCTTAAGTTTTTGCACAAAATGTACACATGATGGAATAAGTTTCCAATTGTTCCTAAAGTTTATGTAGACATTCTTTTCTTTCTGTTCACTAATAAGTATCTAATGCTATTGTTCCAAACCCTCTGACCCAAGGTATGTGGTGGAGAATGGGAGGCATGTAAAAGCCAATTTACATGCAGCTCGCAGAAAAGAAAAATGGAGCCTTGGCAAGATAGACTTGTATCTGGGTGATGTCCCAGATGCTTTCATATTGTGTGACCTCAAAAAACTCAAGATCCCTAAGCATCATGTTTTCATTCCTAAACTATTTTAAGCTTGTTCTAAGGACTAGACATGCTCTATTTATGTTTCAGACATATTGAAGTCATACATGTAGTGGTTATAATTAGAATATGATACAGGCAAAATTAACCAGATGCTAACTGAGAAATCACATGAATTCTATATCAAATCCACAGTTACATTTTGGCATATTTACCCATGTGCTGTGTGTTACTGTTCACATTACACATGCATAATACCATGTAGTTCGTATGTATATAGCCAGATTCTATCCTTAACGGATAGTTTAGGTGATGGACAACCGATGGGTTTTGCTGCTGGAATTCTCTACTTGGTGGTAGAACACAGAAGGAACCAATGAAGCTCAGTGAGCAACAGAACTTGCAGTGTAGTGTCTTGTGTGAAACAGCCTTCACACTCTGCTGTTCTGGTATGTGAGAGGCCTCTGATCCTTAGCATCACTTCTTTCCTCCTCAATTGTGGTACCGCTCTCCTGACTTGCATCCTGGGGCTCACTTGTGGTTTTGGAGTCCTGGGGACACAATGCCTCTGCAATTATCTTTCATAAGACTGATTTCCAAACAGTAATATAACCACCTGAAAGTGCTGCTTGCCTAGCCCAGTAGGAAAACCACATTTTCAACTGAGTGTCATTCATCATTAGGAATCTCTTTCACATATTGGAACATAGTCATTGGTCCAAAGGCAGAATTAATTCTGACTCTTCTCTAGAAAACACATGTCCAGGGCTTTGGAGTTGGCTCAATGGTTAAGAGCACTTGTTACTCTTCCAGAGAATCTGGGTTTAGTTCCTAGCACCTGCATGGTGGTTCACAACCATCTGATCCAGAGGATCCAATGCCCTCTTCTGACCTCTTTGGCACCAGGCACACATATGGTACATATACATGATGTACATACATACAAAACATACAAAACACTCATACATGTAAAATAAAATAGATATAAAAAATAAAAGGAAAATGCATGTCTCATAAATGGGCCTAAAGTGACACTTCTAGGGGAGGTAATAGGGACACAGAGCTCTGTATGCATGTCGTTGTAAATTACACTACTGCCACTGCATTTTAGCAGACACACTCTCAAAGCAAAACCAGTTTTCCCTCACCATGAGCCCTGACTCATTGCAGGCCACAAAGCCCTCCCTACTTGGATCAGCTGCTTACTCAGCTGAGGTAAAGTCTATCAAGTAGAGAACCATGTGGTCAGTATTACTCTTCCACTCACAGCCTCATAAAAGCAGGTTGCTGTAGCATCTTGTCTCCTGAACCCACCCAGACGACCACATGCTATGCTGTAGGTGCTGAGTGTTTTCGGTTGCTTGTTTGGGAGCTACCCTCATCCATAGTGAAGCAAGTCAGAGTTCTCTCTTACGCTTCCCACTTAGAACCAGGTATGTATTTTATACCTGTAATCCTGGGAGTGGAGAGGCTGAAGCAGAATCGGCCCAAGTTCAAGGCCAGCATGGGCTACATAGTGAGACCTGTTTCAAAACAGCAAAGCTGCATCTCTCCTTCCACAACAAAAACAAAACTCAGAAAACAAAAACACTAATACTTAGCTGAGTGAACTCTGAAAAGAAGGACACGGCATGAACAAAAGAAAACTCTCATCAGCTGGAGCGACGAGTCAGTAGTTAAGACCACTTACCGCTCTTACAGAGGACCCCAGTTCAGTTCCCAGCACCCACCTCAGGCAGCTCACAACGTCCCTGTAACTCCAGCTCCAGGGGATTAGATGCCCTCTTACGGCCCCTGTGGGATACTGCACTCATGTGCACATACCCACCCACAGACACATGTAAGTGCAAATATGCAAAGTTAAAACTAAAACAATTAAAAACTCCCATAGGGTTAGGGGTTTTTTTTTTCTCATGTATAGTTTTTCTTATACCTTCCTCCCAGCCAGATCCTGAAGCAGTCCTACCATAGATTTTCCTATAAGAATGTGTGTTGCCCCAGGGTGGGTGGAGAGGCTATGTGGAAGGCTTGTGCTGCCAAACGCCAGCTTCGGCCCTGGAAACAGGCTACTGGTACCGGGCTAGGTGCTCTTCCACAGGTTAGCTGGTGCCCCAGTGGTAGGGAGCTGTTCTTGGTTGGAGCGATTTTACCTGTTGTAAAAAGTCATTCTTTTTGTTGTGACTGTTGTCCATTCGGTACAGAAGCGAGTCAGCAAGCACTATGGGTGTCTGTGCCGTGTGTCTAGCTACCGTGGTTTTGTGTGCATGTCCAGAAGTGAAGGCTCGGGGTTGGGCTGCTCTTCCGTGACCATCTGGTTTGTTTTCGCTTAACACTCTTTTTGTTTCTGTTTTTCTGCTGTTCTTTGAAATGTAGTAAGGCCCAGCCTGTACGGACAGGGCCTCAAGGAAGCAAGCTACCCCTGAGCTGAGGCAGTTCCTTTCAGAGAGTCACTGAGCCCTTCTCTTTATTTCAACATCATCTCCTAGTCTGGAGGACAGGACCAGGAACGGAAGAAGACAAAGAGGCGAGGAGACTTGTACTCCATCCAGACCTCCCTCATCGTGGCTGCGCTCAAGAAAATGCTGCCCATTGGTCTGAACATGTGTACTCCAGGCGACCAGGAGCTCATCTCTCTCGCCAAATCTCGATACAGCTGTGTAAGCTGCCTGTGTGGGCGGGCTGAGTGCAGAGTATGGGCTGTGGGGAGTGGATGGTACTCAGCCTGTAAAGGAGTGGTCCTCTGAGGGCTGGGGTGGGGGTTGAGGGAAAGGTATGCACCTTGTAAAGCTGTCTGGGAGTCAGTAACTTGGGGATAAGTCTCCTTCACTTCTCAGATCTCAGTTGAATTGTGCACTGTCCACCCATACTTCCTGAACCCTCGTTTGCATTTCCACGGTGATCCCTAGGAATAAAATTTAGCCTCTTTCCACAGAGGGACACTGATGAAGAGGTCAAGGAACATCTGCGGAATAACCTACACCTGCAGGAGAAGGTGATGCTTCCTCTCACAGGCAGTCCCGCCAGCTGTAGGACCAGTCTTCCTCAGTCACGGTGTTCGTCTGACTGTTAAGCTAGCGTCTTGCTAGGCAGCCCAGGCTAGCCTCAAAGTCAAGACCTTCCTGCCTCAGCCTCCCAAGTGCTAAGATTACAAATGTATACCACCCCACACCTTGCTCATGTTTTAATTTTTTTTTTCCCCCGAGACAGGGTTTCTCTGTGTGTAGTCCTGGCTGGCCTGGAACTCATAGAGATCCACCTGTCTGTCTGTGCCTCCTGAGTGCTGGGATTAAAGGCGTGCGCCATCACAGCCTGGCTTTTTTTTTTTTAATTAATTTATTTATTGTTTTGCCTGTGTAAGGATGTCAGGTCTCCTGGAACTGTAGTTATAGACAGTTGTGAGCTGCCACGTGGGTGCTGGGTATTGAACCTGGGTCCTCTGAAAGAGCAGTCAGTGCTCTTAACCACTGAGCCATCTCTCCAGCCCCTTACTCATGTTTTAAAATGTATTGTAAGAACTATTTAATTGCTACAAATGGGAGGCAAAGGCATAAGGATCAGGAATTCAAGGTCAATGTTGTTTATGATAGCAAATTTGAGCACTGCCTGGGCTACAGAAAGCTCTGTCACAAAGAAAAGAAAAAGGAAAGAAAGAAAAAGGCTAAACTCTACGGCTGTACTTTTAATTATTGTTCATTCCTTTGCTATGGCAAAGAGTCCTCTGATAAGTGTATGTCATACTTTCTACTACATAAACATCAAGCCATCACAGAAGGCGTTTGGATTAAGTCTCGAAATGTATTGACTACAAGGTTTGTTGAACAGGGAAAGAATCACTTGGGAGGACGTTTTAGCACCTGCCATCCTGGAGATCTTTTGAAACAGAATAAGGTTATGTCATGGGTTAAAAAAAAAAAAATAAGAAAATAAGAGAGTTTAAAGGCAACTTGAGATTTCTCTAATTCTTTAATTCTGAACAGCTCTGTTTTCAGGGTACATTATGCCCTAACATGAGAGTGAAGAAAAACAAGAGTACTGATTCTTTCCCCCCAAATGTATAGCAATGGTAGATAAAATACTCTAGGGGAAAAAAGCAATAACAAAAAAATCCCAACTGCCCAAAAATAAGAAGCTCTAACTCTTAGCAGTGAGGGTGTTATGGGACCCCACCGGAGATGACCACTCACACACAGTGTATAGCCAATGAAACTCTTTATTCCAGCCAGCTAGGACCATATCCAAGTGTGACCACAACAGGGATTTTTAAAGGAAGAAACCACATCCTGGCATCTCACTCTGATGCTCCAGGGAGCTTTGCAAAAGCAAGCAGTTTTAACAGAAGCTAAGATAAACAGTTAGCTGGAGGGGGTTCCATACAAACAAGCAGTTTCACAGACACTAAGATAAATTAGCTAGGACATCCTGACCTTGGGTTCCTAGAATAGAGTTGAATAGTTTTCCGTGGAATTCTTTTTTTTTTTTTTTTTTTTTTTTTTGGTTTTTCAAGACAGGGTTTCTCTGTGTAGCTTTGGTGCCTGTCCTGGATCTCGCTCTGTAGACCAGGCTGGCCTTGAACTCACAGACATCCACCTGGCCCTGCCTCCCAGTGCTGGGATTAAAGGCGTGTGCTGCTGCCGCCACCACCACCACCACCACCACCACCACCACCCGGCTCCATGGAATTCTTCATCAAGATCAAATTCTAGTTAAACTTGAAATGGCCTCAGCAAGAATACAAGATGGAATCAAAGTGTACCCTGTCTTCAGCAATATAAGATTTACTTCATTCACTAATGAACATTTTTAGAATTAAAAAAAAAAAAAAAAAAAGAATACAAGATGGAGAAAACTTTGCACTGTCTTGCCCTGTCACAAGGGGAAGCCAGCCTCCTGGAGAGAACTCAGGTGCTCCAGTCAGATAGATATGCCTCAGGGCTGGAGCTTTAGTAACTTTATCCTGTCGTAATTACAAGGTGTGAGACCTGAACAAAATTAGCTGAGGGCCAGAGAAACTCATGTATCTCCTTCAGAGACAGCCATGAAACCACTCGGAGGGTCTCTGATTACTAAAATGTGGGTGGAAAGCAAGTAAATAAAACCATTCCTGAAAACGGACTCAAAAGATTCAGAATATGTAAGGGAATGCTCCAAGTGAGTAACTCATGCAATAAGGAACTAAGAGAAAGGAACTTAAATACAAATACAGTAAAAACATTTAGACAAAGGAAGCAATAGAATCCACAAAAAAAAAATCAGAACATTCTTTAAAAGGAGGGAAATGTGTTTGACAAAAAAAAAATAGCATAAGGATTATACAGATGAATAATCTTGCAATTTAAACCTTAATCTATGGGCATAAGTTATAAGGTAGACATAACCAAACAGAGAGTTGATGAATTGGAAGATTGCTTTATGGAAGTCATCCAAAATGTAGCACAAAGAGATAAAGGGATGGGAATATGCAGTTCATATGTAGCATTTATATGTCGTAGGAATAAGAATGGAGGAGTGGGGCTGAAAAGATGGCTCAGCAGTTAAGAGCACCTGCTGCTCTTCCTAAAGACTCAAATTTGGCTTCCAGCACCCACATCACATCAGTCAGCTCACATGTACTTATAACTCTAGGGAATCCAGCATACTCTCAGGCATCCACAAACACCCAGATATATTCACAGAGTTATACACACATACACATAAATAAAAATATAACATATTTTTTAATATAAGAGGGAGGGAGGGAAATGAAAGGGGAGGAAGGTGTGAGAGCCGAATTTTAAGTTTTAATTGCTATATGGAAGAGATCCATGAAGCAAAAATGCCTCTGATCTGCAAGCCCCTTGCCCAAGGACAGATAGTTCCTGAAATGCTGGAGGCTGTTGTTCATGGGAGATAACAAGCCACATGTTTTCACTCCCTTAAACAAGTTTGTTTTACCCTCTGCACAGATGTGTTTGACCACATGTGGTCAAAAAGAACACAGGCTGTAGGTACATGAGGATATAGCTTGCCCCTGACTGGACCTGATGGGAAATGTAATGAATTATAGGATTTCCTTCTTAAGTCACTGCAAACTGTGATTCTGGGCCATTTCCCAGGAACCTGGGTATGGACCTGGCCAGAGCCCATCCACCTGGCCAGTATTCAATTAAAGCTTGTTTTAAAATTGTCTTTAAACTATGGCGGTGGTTTTATTCTGGATCGGTGGGGTTAACCAAGGGAGAACAGGAAGTATAATCAACTGAGTCTTATTATGTGGAACCCTGGTGGGACTATTGTTTAGCACAGGAGGTATTGAAATTGCTTAGCTCATGGATATGCTTCAACTTTCAGTCAGATGATCCAGCTGTAAAATGGCAGCTGAACCTCTATAAAGATGTTCTGAGGAATGAAGAACCTTCTAATCCAGAAAAGACGGTGGAGCGTGTGCAGAGGATCTCAGCAGCTCTCTTCCACCTGGAGCAGGTATGGAGCTTTGCTCTGAGGAGTGAGTGAACAGGACTGCTCTGGAAGATAGAAAGATCTTCCCTGCACTCGGCTCCCAATTACAGGAGACCTCTTGAGGCAAAAGGCAACCACCAGAGTGGATCCCATATCACCCCCAAGTGCCTCATAGCTGTAGCTCCATAGCTTTCCCTTGTGTTGTTTACAAGTTCTTGCTATGAATTCAAAATAGGTTTTTCAGTTCTTTGCCATTTGTAAAACAGCGATAAACATCTAGTGGCCTTTGGGGAAATGACAGAAACAAAGGACCTTCACACAAGGGTGACTTCCTGCTGGGGACATGCTTGCTAACTTCAGTTGGGAGACCAAAAATTATCCTAGAGTTAAGATGCCTGAGCTACTCAGTCTGCCACTAGATGGGCTGACTGTGTACCTGCTTATGTGACTTCTTCTTAGGTGGAACAGCCTTTGAGGTCCAAAAAGGCTGTATGGCACAAATTGTTGTCCAAGCAGCGGAAACGAGCAGTGGTGGCCTGTTTCAGGATGGCTCCTCTCTACAATTTGCCCAGGTAGGGGCTCCATCATTATTTTCTTCCAGGTGTTGTCCCAGAGCCGAGCTCTCTGTGGCCCTTAAACTTGACCCTAACAATAGAAAGTGGGGTCCTTGGCTCATGGCACCTTGCAGACTGCAGACTATAATGATCTGCTAAGCAATCAAGGTAAGTATAAAGCTGGTGAGATTGCCTCATCCTGGGCCTTCATAGCCTCCCAGCACACACTGAGGCTCTCTGCTTTTGCTGAGATAGGAGTCTTTGTGAGAACATAAAGGCTTCTGGGAAAAGGGAGCTGTTTTCTAAAGTACTTTAGCCCAAATTCCATCATTCCCTGCACAGGCACTAGGTGATAAGACAAAATTTACTGTTCTTGAGCAGAGGCAAATTGCAACCCAAGAATCCTTCCTCACAGTGTATCTCCCATCAAGATGAAGAAAGGGGCAGCTAGTTGTGGGGGCACGTGCCTGTAATCCCAGCTCTCAGAAGGTGGAGGAAGATCATGAATGTGAATTTAGCCTGGGCCACATAGCAAGCCCTTGTCTTAAAACAAAGAGGAAAAAAGGCTAGAGAGACCCAAAGAGGCTAGACAGAAGCACAATGTACTTACCTTGGTCTTTTGTACTTTGAAGTAAAAATTATGTGAAATGTTAGGGCTTTTTTGTTTTTTTCTGCAAACTGTGTAGCATATCTTCTGTCAACATAAGGAAGGGAATCTGTATTCGTCCAATTTCCACGGGAATCTGTATTCGTCCAATTTCCACTACCACAAAATACCTGAGGCAAACTGACTTAAAAGAAAAAAAGGTTGGTTTTAGTTCATGGTTTCAGGGGCTTTAGCCCACATGGTGTCATCATTTCCAGTCTATGGTGAAGGAGAACGTCTACAGGAGTGAATGTGTGACTGTGCACTAGAGCAAAGCTTCTCACCGAGCAGAGGGGAGGGAGCAGAAAGAGGAGCTGAACAAGGTCCTAATAACCCTTCAGTGGTGTGTCCCAGTGACCTTGCTCCTACTACTGGACCTCAACTTCTAAAGGGTCTGCCACCTCCCAGTAACATCAAAGACTGATGATCAGTCCTTCAATGCACGACCTTTGGAGGGCACTGAAGATCTACGCCATGGTAATACCAATAAGAGGCAGGGCCTGTACTGACTACCAAAACTGTCTCTGCATGTCTGGTGGTAAGACGGCTTCATCCTTCTCTAGACAGACTGGAGAATATGTGAAGCAGGTCTGTCATCAGTCTACAAAGCTGGTGACTGAATAACCTTTGATTTATCAATTTCCCAGTCTCTGGGAACAGTCTCACCTGGTCACAGAAAAACGACTGACTTGGACCAAAGCATTCAGAATCCTATACAACAGTATGTTTCTTTAGAATATGAGACCAGGAACCATCCTATGCTAGGCCTTTGTTTTTGTCAAATGGGGGATCTTGACCATTATTTATCCAGAATATTCTGTACCTTGCCTTAAGCCAGGCGAGTCTTCCCTTTGAGAGTCTTTGAAGACGGTGGGGAAATCACAGCTTCGGAGATGTGCCCCTGCTCCCTGGGGCCTCTCCTGTTTGCTTTATTGGGAGGGGAACGAAGCAACACTAACTCAAGTAGAATTTATGAATAAAAAGATGAAAATGGGTCGGCGGTGGTGGCACACGCCTTTCATCCCAGCACTTGGGAGGCAGAGCCAGGCAAATCTCTGTGAGTTTGAGGCCAGCCTGGTCTACAAAGCAAGTTCCAGGAAAGACGCAAAGCTACACAGAGAAACCCTGTCTCAAAAAAAAAAAAAAAAAAAGATGAAAATGGAAGCCAGCCATAGGTACAGGGGATGGTGAAGTCCTCACATAAACGGGAAGTTGATATTGTAGAAGTGTGTACGATTTTTCTTTCTTTTCTGGAAATAATGAAAACACCAGAAAACGTTCACCATCCCTCTCTTGGTCAGAACTCCTGCCTGAGGATGTAGCATGAAGAACCAAGCTCTAAAAACACCTGTGCAGGGCCAGGCCAGCCAGGCAGAAATCATCTCTCTCAAAAACAAGCATTTTTTAAAAAATAAGGTTGATACCATCCCTTCCTATCTGGGTATTCTTTCAGCATTCCTACACCTGTATATGTCAGAATAGTTCACGGAGCCCCTGTAAGGAGGCATGACATCCTTAAGCCAGTTGCTCTAGAACCGCTGCCTGGGTTTTCTCTCTAGCATGAAGAACTGTGGGTCAATTTTGTAACAACCCACTCACCAAGAAGGCAACTGTGGAAGCAGCTCCTCTTCCCTACTTTGGGATGGTCTACGCTAATGGAATCTTCCAGACTAAATGACTTATCTGATTATAGAGATGCTGTTTCTCTGGTGTTGGTGTTTTAAAGAAAACCCTGTATGCTTTTCTCCAGACACAAAATTAACAATTTCTTCCTGATCACCTTTCAACGTGTTTGGCTGGAAAAGGTTAATGAAAAAACTCAGTATGACAGACTAATACCCATATTAATGGTAATGTAACCTGAAAGACACCAGCTTATTCTCTGCACATGCCTCCTTTCTTGGCCATGATTTAATGTTCCCATAAGAATACATATTTTGTACAATTTTAAGTAAAATTCTGATTGGTCAGATTTTAATGGGAGAGAGCAAGGTTCCGGTTCTACCAAAACACCAACCAGCACTGAAGGGCCACTCTCGTCTTTTCCTTTCTTCTCATCCTAGCTTGCTACTTCCTTCACACTTAGCTGTGCTTCTGTAGCTAACTTTCCAGGAAGTCATTCCTGGCTTACAGGAATTGGCATGAGCCAGACACCAGAGCATAGCCAGGATCCCAGAGGCACACAGAAGGCATGCTCACAGCATGGCATACCCAGGTCTTGCCTTCCTAAGTAACCACTGGAGTACCTTGCTGAGATGTTCCTTGCCTAGGGGAGGGTGGGGAAGCTGAAGTGAAGGGTTTACCATTTGTCTGACACTAAACTACAACACGATTTCAATCGTATTACCTGGACAGAGGACTCCTCAAGAAATGACTAAACTACCATCTGAAGCAAGTATTTCCAGACTTGATCTAATCAGCTATTTCTCACTAGAATGGCGATGTGAATAAAAAAACAAAAAACAGTAGAACTAAATGGGGATGCTGTGTCTTGTTTTGATTATGGTGCTCAGAAGGAACTCCAGTATTTACGAGTTATAGGGAAGGAACTATGTGAGCTACTGACTGCCCTGACCAATCAGAAGATGAGAATTGTACAAAAAGTCTATCCTGCGTACTAACCACTAACCACCCCAACTAAAATACCGAGCCCACCAACTCTCCTGACCCCCCTCTTACCCTTTCATTCAGGCACCGCTCTATTAACCTCTTCCTCCATGGCTATCAGAGATTTTGGATAGAAACAGAGGCATATTCCTTTGAAGAGAAACTAGTACAGGATTTGGCTGTAAGTACCGAATGAACTGGGAGCAGACACGGGTGTGAATGGGTTTGATTTTTGTATCTGTGTTTGTATATGTTGTGAAAGTCAGGCATTCACAGAGAATGCATGTGGTGTATCAACCTGAAAAGAACTAACTAAATTCTCAGGGTGATGCTGCCAATGGTCCTAGGAGCCAGAGGATGGAATTTCAATTAGAGGTGCTAATGATGTCCTCACCCCATCTCCATCATCATTAACAACTAATGTTTCTTAAAGTGCACAGCTGTGTCATGCGAAGTTCATGCCACCTTAAGTTTTGAGCACCATTGGTTGCAGGAGGCCCCCTGTCCTGCTTACCCCCTGCTAAGACCCCACATCCATAACAGTAGCTCTGCTATTGGGAAGGGGCATCTAAAGAATGGCCTTTCCTGCACCTCTTAAATCTGGCATGCACTCTTTCTAACAGATGTCATACTCTGAAACCACTGGATGTGGAACACAAGGGAGCAGCCTCATCCTGTCTCAGAGGAAAATAAGCCCTCCCTCCTCTTCTCTGGCCAGGGTGTGGTTCTCCTTTCCCCTTGCCACTCCAGTTCCTCATTTTCTATTCTCACTTGCCTTTGGCTCTAATCTTCTATTGTTTCTCATTCATTCTCTTCTGTCTGTTTTTCTCTTTGAACTATCATCCTGTGTCTTTGCTCCTTCCCTCCTCTTCCCCATTTTCCTTCCCTTTGGTTTCAGGTCCCTTACTTTCCCCCCACACTCCTGTTGATGAGAAAAGTGCTGCCTTTTTGGCTTCCCACTTTCCTGATTGGTGTGAAGCTGGCAGCAAGCAGCATTTTAGCCCTCTACTGCCGAACCATGCACACAGCCTGTATGGTTCTCACCAATTCACCAAGTATATCCACCCTGCTGACTTGGCTTCTGCCAGAAAATTTCACTGTTGCCACTAACATCAGCTACTATTTCCCTTTCTATAAAAACAGAGAAGTGACTTGGTAAGAGGAGAGCAAGTCTTGCCGCTCCTAAATAGCAGCTTTGCAGAACAATGCAAATTTTAGGATACTGTGAAGCTAAAACAGAGAGACACGTTTTTGTTAGGTTAAATCTAGACTAACACCATGGTAAGATTTTGAATTGGTCCCTCTCATTACAGTATTGAAATAAGCCTGCTAAATTTATCAAGTCATGTTCATGCCCTGATTTTATATACTTGAATCTACATTGTGATGCTTGAAAAAAAAAAAAAAACAACTAAAATAATACAACTGGACCCCAAATAGGCCCAGAGATTTGCGACTTTTATCTCACCTCTACCTCAAGCCTGCTCTCCAGAAGAAATTCTGTGTATTGTCTAGAGGGACTCAGTGTCTTAAGTGACAGCAGGGTTTCCCTCCTGAACTGGGGTGCCCACAACTTGCATGAGTTGATTGGAGTCAGTAGCTCTTTCCCTGTGGTCAGCCATTTGCTTTGTTTTATTTCATTTAATTAAACATTGGAATGTGTCTTTGACTGGCTGGGAGAAATGTATCTGTCTGTACCGACCTCACATCCTCAGGACCCCTCCCCTGAAATGAGCATCACTGGTAGAGGCTTCCTGTATCTGTCTGTACCGACCTTGCATCCTCAGGGCCCCTCCCCTGAAATGAGCATCTGGTAGAGGCTTCCTGTATCTGTCTGTACCGACCTTGCATCCTCAGGACCCCTCCCCTGAAATGAGCATCTGGTAGAGGCTTCCTTTCTCTGCTTTCAGCCTGAAACCCTCTGTGCCTTGCGCTTTGCCTCCTCTTTATTCGCATGCACTCGTATGGTGCCTGCAGGGATCTGTGCCTGAAATCTGTCTGTGTTGCTCTGTGCAGAAATCTCCCAGGGTTGAAGAGGAGGAAGAGGAAGAGACAGAAAAGCAGCCTGACCCGCTTCACCAAATCATTCTGCATTTTAGCCGCAATGCACTCACGGAGAGGAGGTCAGCATCGCCATGGTGTTCTTCCCACAGGCCAGGGATAGTGCTTGGTCATATCTGCCCCTCTGTGGTCAGCAGAGGATAGAAGGGATTTCAGAACTGACAGGCTCTGTTCATGGCCACCAGGAAATGCACAGTGGATAGGCTTCTCATCGTAATACGAGACAGACTAAAGATGGAATGGCCTAAAATTGTGACTTTACTCCTAAATTCTGTGTCAAGCCAATGCCGGCTCAGCTTGTCAGAGTCAGAGTATCTAATTAGTTCACTAGCACACTACACTTGGAATTTATATGGTTTTTAGTAGTTTTTTTGTTGACTCCAGAACATAGCCTGCTAAAAATACTTTCTCTGTTATTTCCAGCAAATTGGAAGATGACCCCTTGTACACCTCCTATTCCAGCATGATGGCCAAGGTACACCTGGGTTCTCACCACTCTGTCACAGTCTATCTATCTTTAGACCTCTTGGGGCATATCAAATTGTCACATGAGCAAGAAGGCCGGGGCTCGGTCATGACACAGGTTCTAGGCGTCATACAACTCTTGTACCATAAGTGTGACACCTTGAGACTATAGAATAGTGGCAACTGGTGGCTGGATTCATGGTCCAGCTAAAGGCTAACTAAATAGGGCCTAAGCACAAAGATGTCTCTACCTCTTCAGCTAGCGACTGGGAGAGGCCGGGATGTTCAGTCTGTGTGCAGACGAAGGACACAGGCTGGACACTAGGAAAAGGTTCCAGTGTCCTAGAGGAGCCACAGTGACTACAGGCATGCCACCCAGAAGTTTGACAGACTCTGGAATGCTGAATATACATAAGAAAACTGTCCTCAGTTAGAAAATCATTCAGGAAAGAGGAGACAGATGCTGGTAAACAGGAACCCGGATTGCTTTGTTCTCTGTGTCTCATGGCCCTAGTACACAGTGACAATTTAGGGTGTACATCACAGGCATCCCAGTCTTACTTTCACAGCCCCAGTATATGTCTTAATGGGGACAAAAACTCCTTGCATGCCTTGGTTCTCATTTACAACAGAACTGTTTTAGGGAAGGGAATTCATATCCGTGTAAAACAGGTCACTGTTGGATATGTGAGCTCCATGTTCTCCTTTTTTGTTCCTTAACCCCTTGGTAATTGCAGAAATGACATTTAAAGTAGACGTTGACCTGCAGTGATCCAAATGTTCCTAGTTTTACAAGGTGCTGAGGTACGGAGGAGTCTATGAATGATAGCCTGTCCCCTGCCCTTGCAAAATACCATAGAAGTACTGTGCTCATTAGACTCCCTATAACTTGGTTTTCTGTGTCCTCCTTTCCCTGCTTCATGGAATCCAGAGTTGTCAGAGTGGTGAGGATGAAGATGAAGAGGAAGACAAGGAAAAAACATTTGAAGTGAGTTTCTATAAAGATATTAGAACCAGGGCCCTTGCAGGCCAGTAGACTGGGACTTCAGAATGGTGACTGCCATTTGCTTATGAGGTTCACTATTCTGCTCTGTCAGCAAATCTAGCCATGGCTCTGCCATCTGCCTGTGTGTGACTGACAAGCAGCAGGCAACCTGCTCATCAGCAACATCCACTCCCAACTAGGTTGGTTCTGATGGGAAATATTCTGCCTCCCATGTACTGTAGTTACAGGCTGTAGAAGGACAAATTTAAACAACCAAAAATAAAAAAATCAAGGACATTAGGATGACCTATACTACTCTATAAATACAAGTTGATAGTAGTTTTTATTTCAAGGCAGTGCAGAAGCCCAAAACTCCTAAAATTATACAATTTCCAGTTCTTGTATTCTTTGATAGGCAAAGGGCTCAAAAGTATAAAAAAGGTGAATGCAGGTAACCACAATTCTGGTAACCAGCTCTGGCAGAACATGTCTGCAGTGCAAATACAGGGACATTTCTTACATTCAGACAAATATAATCAGGTGGACCCTCAAGCATGGTCCCTGTATAACAGAACATTGAAAGGAAGCACACTTAAATCTTGGCTTGCAAGGAATCGCTCACTGGGAGATGGAAAAGCTAGAGCCCTAGAGGCAGCCAAGGAGGAACTTGTCTCCAGGAGAAAGACTTAGAGCTTGTCAGGTGGCCTTGCAGGAGAGACTGGAGCTGAGACAGTGGTGACTGACTGGTCCCAACTTGGACCTGCACTGCTTCATTAGCTGTGTAAACCTTACCCTCATGCTAGGGCCCTGAAGACTAAGACTGAGAATGTTCGCTGGGTCTTTCTGCTCCTCTTCCCAGAGTGGCCATATCGAATAGATCTCCTTTTTCTGCTCTTCACTATTAAAATGATAATAATAATAATTTGCTTTGTAATATTGAAGGTGAAAATACTGTTACCTATCAACATAAAGATTGGAAAACCCATCATTAAAGAGTGAGGGAATTATGGGTAGATTCTTTGGAGAAGCTAGGTCATGTCTGAAATTAAAATGTAGAGGTTTGCTTTATTCAAATTGTGTACATTACCTTTCTTAGGCTATGAAAGATTCGCTCTTAGTGTACCTCGCCATGTTGCATTTACTCAAAGGGAACATGGGCAGAAGGTAGAAATGAGGGCACTGGAGGGGCTGAGAATAAATCTTCCTGTCTGATTCTTTTTCTAGGAGAAAGAGATGGAGAAGCAAAAAACATTGTATCAGCAAGCGCGCTTGCATGAGCGTGGTGCTGCCGAGATGGTCCTTCAGATGATAAGTGCCAGCAAAGGTGATGGCCCTGTTTCTAGGTAGACCCTTGGTGACTAGCACAGAGCTAACGCACCATGACCTGCAGTCACATTAACAAGCCTGGAGAGAGCCCTGGAGGTATAATTTGCCACCTCTTTCCTTGGTGATTCAATGAAATCTTCACCCTGGCAGGTGAGATGAGCCCCATGGTGGTTGAGACTCTGAAGCTGGGGATTGCCATTCTGAATGGAGGCAATGCTGGTGTGCAACAGGTAATGTGCCACGGGGTGGGGATGGTGAAGAGCTCCTGGGGTACTTCCCTTTGACAGTTCTCACCGATGAAATTGGATTTGCTCCCAGAGGGCCGGCCACCCACAGTTGCTTGGCTGGTGTTTGTCCTTCGTGGCCAATTTTGTCAGAGTAGCTGGGAACACAGATAAAAACCACAGCTGGGAGTCTGCATGCAAGTGTGTATTTAATAAAGAGGTTTGTTTTTACCTGGGATTAAAGGAACAAGACATTGCATTTTCTCTCAGATTTCCCCACAGAATTGTAAATCCTCAGAGGATGATGTTTCTGAAGCCTCTGGTGTTTATCTCAGCCCTTTAACCTGTGAGCTGCTTTAACACACAAGTAACTCACATACTGCTATTCATTCACTTATTCCCTGTTCGTTAAACAGCTGCTAACAGTTACTTACGGATTGCTCACAATGCCTGGTTCTGCTGTAAAGGCTGAAGTTATTCCCGTGAGCTATACAACCAAGTCCTCATTTGAGAAGCTCACACTAGAGGATTTTGAGTTCATGGCCAGCTTGGGCTACATAGTGAGAGACTCTGTCTGGTAAACCCAAGGGTCAGAGATATACCTTAGTGACAAAGCACTTGCCTAACATGAGCAAGGCCCCGTATTCAATTTCTCAGACTACAAAATAAAACAGCAAAGCCTCCTAGCTCACTGGTTACTTTCTAGTGAGCATAAAATGAGACAGTCAGTATGCAGACAGCTGCTGGCCACTCAGTATCTGAATTGAAACTGGTTGGAAAACGTAGGCATGCATGAGTAGCTCCTGAAGCAGTGGTTCTCAACCTATGGGTCACAACCCCTTTAGCAAACCTCTTTCTCCAAAAATATTTACACTATTATTTATAACAGTAGCAAAATTACAGTTATGAAGTAGCAACAAAAATAATTTTATGGTTGGGGCATTACCACAACATGAGGAACTGTATTAAAGGGTTTCAGTATGAGGAAGGTTGAGAACCATTGTGACCTGAAGCATCTCTGCGCACAGAGTTCAAACAGAACTTTAATATTCATAAAGGTATATCCCAGAGCCTTTGAAAGTCTCTGAATTTGTAGCTATCTTACACATAATGTTTTCTTAGTCTTCAAATCTTCCCAAGCACTTTCTCATTAAGAATTGTTACTTTTCTTTCTGACTTATTTTCTTCTTTTTTCTACTACCACATATCCGCTAACTAACTTGCAGCAAGGTCTTTTTTTAATATACAAAAATTTTATGTCACAAAAAACTCCTCCTTTCTAAAAACTGAGACCGTAGGAACAAAGTAAGCATTTCTGTGCTTTGAGCTGGGCCCATTGCTGCCTCATCTCTTCCTATAAACACCACTCGCACAACAAGCAACTGAGATTGTACCTCAGCACCAACAAACATTCCCATGTCACCATCCTAACACCCATCCAAAACAGTAAAGACTTTAAACAGCAAATCCACAGATGTCAAAGGTCTACTACACTGTACTGAAATAGCAAAACACAATAAGCCTCTGTACAATAGAATCTGACTTCCCAAGTAGATGGTTTGACTCATGTACATTTTTTTCTTTGTTAGGTACATGTATGCAATCGTATAAGCATATAAATACAATCTGCTGAGTCCATTTAGTATTGCCCAAATGTATGTTTTTAGGGCTGACCACTTGGTTTTGGATCACCTATCAAGGGATTCATCCTTGGGGAAGATTGATTCTCCCTCATCAATTGTCTGTAGTTAATAGTCTGTAGTTCTTCATCTAGGGATAGGACCTTCTTTTCCCCCAAACAGATTAGAATGTCATCTGGTGGTGATACTGTTCAGGCCTTGTTTAGGCAACCTATTGTTGAGATGTCGTGGGTGCAGCTTCCCTGTACTGTAGGGAAGACAGTCTCGCAGCTGACATCCTGGTCCCCTTGCTCGTACAGTCTTTCGGCCTCTTCTCAGATGTTCCCTGACCTTGGTGTAGAGGTTATATTTCCTTGGCTACACCAGTAATCCTGAGATGTAGCCCTAAGTCTGCTTTTGTGTGCTTCCACGGCAGGGGATTTGCCATTTCTCCATCAGGATGAGGAAGACCATCAGTTGTGACGTAGTTCTCACTGCTTCCCTCTAAACTGTCTCTCCTTTGCAGAAAATGCTAGATTACTTAAAAGAGAAAAAAGATGCTGGATTCTTTCAAAGCCTTTCCGGTCTTATGCAGTCTTGCAGGTAAGTATGGGGAAACCACTCAGCATTCTTAAAAACAAGTGAAGAGAAAGGGGGACAGGAAGAGGTATACAAAATCAGCTACCTTACCATGGAATTGTTGGGAAGATCCAGCAGTTACCTACCTTAAAATCCTAGAGAGTGTTCACTAGCCTTCAGGATTACATTCAAACATTAAGAGAAATAATTCCCCTCAGCCACAAATGTCATTCCCTGTGCTGTGGTGTATCATCCCCTCTCTTCCCCTCTCCTCCCCTCCCCTTCCCCGCTTCCCTCTCCTTCCCTTCCCTTCCCCCACCTCCCCCTCCCCTCCCCTTCCCCCTTCCTTCCTTCCTATGTTAGTTTCCTCAACCATGCAGACCTCCAAAAGTGAAGTCAAATAAGTAATAGAAAAGAGGAGGAATATCTCACTCTGACTGAAGGCTGTTTTCTTTCAACCCATGAGACAGCTTGTAATCTTCCCCCCCACCCCAACAATCCTTTGATGTTGAATAGGTATTTGGTAAGCATATATTTAGATATATCCATTTTGACAGAGGTCTATCCTGTGGTGGTATTGTGTTCCCCAAAATATTGTGTATCCTAACAAACTTATCTGGGGTCAGAGAACAGAACAACCACTAGATACAGAGGCTAGAAAATGGCGGCACTCACGCCTTTAATCCTAGCATTCCAGAGATAGAAATCCCTCTGGATCTCTGTGAGTTCAAGGCCACATTGGAAACAGCCAAGCATGGTGACACACGCCTTTAATCCCAGAAAGCCAGCCTTTAATCCCAGGGAGTGGTGGTAGAAAGCAGAAAGATATATAAGGCGTGAGGACCAGAAACTAGAGGCATTTGGCTGGTTAAGCATTTGGCTGGTTAAGCTTTTAGCTGGTTAAGCTTCAGGCTTTCGAGCAGCAGTTCAGCTGAGAGCCATTGGGATGAGGACACAGAAGCATCCAGTCTGAGGAAACAAGACCAGCTGAGAAGTTGGCCAGAACTTTTAAGATTCCTGCTACACTATCCTGGCATGGGAACAAAATTTTGATACAGACTAAAAAGCAAAGCATCAAATTATCAGTGGATCTTACCCATTTGTAAGCTGCCCATCATGGTTGAACCCACTTTTGAATAAATATCCAAAAGTCCTGAAGCCACCACACTAGCTCATTTTTAAAATGAGCTATCAATCTAAGAAAGGTGTAAGAAACCGGAGTTACAATTACTTAACTCATTTTCTTCCAGCTATCAAGAGTTAAGATAAAACATGATGTCTTCCATTTGAAAATTTGGAGAATGAACATCCTTTCAGTAGACTTCATAATTTTGCCAATCTTATTTGATTGGATTAATCAAATAAATCAATTGTACCCTGAGGCAACAAGGAGACCATCTGAGCTGTAGCATAACCCCTTGTTCTTCTCTCTCTCTCTCTCTCTCTCTCTCTCTCTCTCTCTCTCTCTCTCATATATATATATATATATATGTGTGTGTGTGTGTGTGTGTGTGTGTGTGTGTGTGTGTGTGTGTATGTATGTGTGTGTGTATTGCACTAACAGTCTATTAGTTTATCATCTCTCTCAGGAAAAGTAAGTGTGATATTGCCAGGCCTGACTCATTGAAGATAGAATAGCCCCTGTGGACTCAGGGACAGCAAAATGGAGACAGCTGAGTTCTACGTTGCTCATGAAATCTCCATTAGGTCTCTAAGAGTTCTCTCAGTATGCTGCAGCACTTGATACTGATAAATTTGTTTATAATTCATTCATAATGATAGCACAGAGGGACAAGTGACATACACTTCATTGCCAGGTGACTTCTCACAGAAGTTTTAAGGTGCTTTAATGGGTTTGATTATTACACAAATAATACATTTCTGTAAAATACTTAAGCAGAAGGAAAATTAAAACATTCAACATGGGTGTTAAGGGATTAAAGTGAGACTTAGAAATGCATGGCATCAATTCAAAAGCAAAGCTTCAAAGCAACAAGGACCAAATGTCATTTCCTATGTTTGCCTTCCCACCTGCCCCATCCCCCAACCCAGTGCAGCAAAATCCAAATAGCAAAACAGCAGGATAATTTGGAGTTTTTAAGCAGACCTTTTTTTTTTTTTTTGGTTTTTCAAGACAGGGTTTCTCTGTGTAGCTTTGTGCCTTTCCTGGAACTCACTTGGTAGCCCAGGCTGGCCTCGAACTCACAGAGATCCGCCTGGCTCTGCCTCCAGTGCTGGGATTAAAGGCGTGCGCCACCACCGCCCGGCAGCAGACCTTTTTTTATCCCACAGGCTGGGATGGGAAAAACAACAAAGCTAGAGCCTAGAGAGATGTCAGAAGAGATACGAGCCCTTGTAGCTTTTACAGAGGACCTGGGTTCAGTTCCCAGCACCCACATGGTGCCTCCCAATGATGTATAAGCACCAGTCCCAGGGGATCTCACAGCCTCTTCTGACTTCCATGGGTACTAGGCATGTACATGGTACACGCAAGCAAAATATTCATACCTAAAAATAAATATTTTTTAATTTTAAAAAGAAAAATAACAAAGATAGCAATAAAAATTTCTCCGGTTTCTGTTTAAAATTTCCCCCAAGTTTCAGAAATCATGAGTCCCCAAAAAGGAAATTTAAAAAAAAAGAGTGCTAATATCTCTCTAGTCTGCAACCATGTCCTCTTAACACCAGCAGAATTAAGGCTAATGTTAGTCTTCACAGGCTCATCCATGCATGTCCCTACGAGCAATATCATTATAAAACATTTTGCTCTAGGACACTTTTCAGACCAGAAAAGGAATGACACAATCAGGAAAACAGAAGAATGCTTACGTGGAAGTAATATGATCCCACAGTGTTCTCATTCCCAGCCTGGGTGGTGGCACTGGAGCTTCTTGCCTTAACAAAACTTGACTGTAGCTAGGAAGGTAGGGAAAAATGAGGACAAGAACAGATGCCAACTTTTCACAAATTTAGGGACACCATTGCACAGAAGGCTTAATCCTAACTGCTACTGGCTTTTGAACAAAGCAGGAACCATAAAAGGGTGTGGCCTTTGAAGTCTTAGTTTCTAGCTCTCTTCTCCAATCCTCATTCTAGACACTAGGGATCACAATTTCCTGTGATCTTTAGAAAAAGGAGCTAGAGGCAAGAGGTGAACATTGAGTGTAGCTTAAGAAATCTCAGAAACAACTCATCTCTTCCTGATTCGGGAAGGATTTCTAAACCTTCACCTATAAGAAAGGATTCAAAATGAACGATGGCCATCACCTCACAGTGCATAACAAGGTCTGTGAGCTGTCACATCCATAAACCACAGTGCTTGGCACAAACCCAAAGGACTTCGGGCTTTTTTAACCATGTTGTTATGTGTTGGTCTATTTATGGTAATAAAGAGACAAAATATTCTTTGTAAATACATTGACATTAGAAATCTATTTTCCCAGTGTGGTTAGCCCTGAACCTTGTTTTCTTTTGTCAATTAAAAGTGTCCTTGATTTGAATGCATTTGAGAGGCAGAATAAAGCTGAAGGCCTGGGAATGGTTACAGAGGAAGGAACACGTAAGTAACTAATGAATGCCAAGGTCATCCCCTTCTGGTTAAAACATCAACTCTTTCTAATCAGAGCCTGTGCATGTAATTTCTTTGTCTGCAAAGACTTGCTCCATTTGAGCCAAACATTTCTATGTGCGGTATTGCTAAGGTCAGCATCCAGGCTAGATGTATTCCTAGAGTTAGTTGTAACTGAAGAAAGTTTGTTACAGTATCCATGGGTTTCTTACTTTGTATTTTCTCTTTTTCCTCTTATCACCAGTCATTGTCCGTGAGCGTGGTAAGTGTGAGTTCCTACCATGTGTGCAAATCCTAAGAGACTGGATTTAATTGCTTTGGTACAGACACAGCTTAGGTCTCGTGGTTGCATGTCAAGTTTAACCCAGCAGTTTGATGCTTAATTAAAGAAGTGCCTTCTATCTGTAAAGCATGGGTTATTATGGGCTGTGAGCCACTGGCTGCTGTTGCCCTAGTTGTTCTCATTACATGATGTGTCTTGGGGCTAAACAGTTTACTGTTTGGGCTGTGTACTCTGCAGCCTTGGATCCCAATTAGTTGGGTTTATTAACACTAGTCCAAAGGTCCATTTCCAAACCCTTTTGTCATTTTTGGAGTCATTTGCATTAGAAGGTTGTCCTTGTTGAGAAGTCGTACAAATGCTGATGTACATGTTATGTTTTCAAGGTGAAAAGGTACTCCAGAATGATGAGTTCACACAAGATCTCTTTAGATTCCTACAGTTGCTCTGTGAAGGACATAACAGTGGTGAGTGGAAACAACTGACTTGTCAATGGAAAACAGCATTTGTGTGCACAATTCTCATTCAGTTCAGTGGACTCCACTTAATTCAGATAGTTGCTTTCTGTCTTAGTTACTGTTGTATGGCTGTAAAGAGAGACCATTACCAAGACAATTCTTCTTTTGGAGCTTTCTTACAGTTTTAGAGGGTTGGTCCTTGACCATCCTGGTGGGAAGCAAACAGGCATGGTGCTAGAGCAGTAGCTGAGAGCTTTACATCCTGATCCACAGACAGCAGACAAAGAGAGAGTGAGACTGGGGCTGACGTGGGCTTTTTAAACTTCAAAGCCCACCCCAGAGACACACCTTCTCCAACAAAGCCATCCCTCCTCCAACAAAGCTACACCTCCTAATCCTTCCCAAACAGTTCCACTAACTGGTCACCAAGCATTCAAACATATGAGCCTTTATGGTGGGCCATTCTCATTCAAACTACCACACTATCCAAGTTCATCTAGTCCTTCATAAGAAAGGTTATATAAAATGACCATTAGACTTATGGCTGCTATTGCTTAGTGTCACCAATGCTAAACCACTCCCAGAATCACCAACCCTTCCTTTTATATAACCATAAAATAAGATCTTCCCTTATTTTATGCGTCATAAGGTTGTCAGGGCTCAGAGTAGAGCAGGATCTGTGAGGCTCCAAATATATTATCTGTGTGGGGCTTGCCACATAGTATGCCACTTCTAAGCTCGGCTAAGAGGGTATGCCTGGCTCCCTTTGATATAATGGTCCTAGATTCTGACCCAGCACTGGTGTTCTCAGACTTTCAGAACTTCCTAAGGACTCAGATGGGCAACACCACCACCGTGAACATCATAATCAGCACCGTGGACTACCTGCTTCGTCTGCAGGTGAGTTGGAACAATAGGAAACTGTGCATCTCATCTACAGTTACATAAGTTAGCAACTGCTATGCAGAGCCAGGGAGGCGCAGGATACAGATGTTCCTCAATGGAACTATGTCCTAATAAACCAACCATAAGCTGAAGATGAATTTCATACACATAGCTACTGAATGCCATAGTTTAGTGAGATGATACACTATAGCATTTTGGTGATTTGCTCTTAAGATTGTGTAGCTGACCCTCCATTATGGTTCATGGCTACTGACTAATATGAGAAAATATCACACCATAAATAGGTTATCTGAAAAATCTCAGAATTTCAAGTACAATTTCAACTCAACTAAATCTATGTCACTTTCATATCATTGTTAAGTTGAAAACTTATGCATTAGACCTGCATAAGTCAGAGAATGCCTATATAGCCTAACCCTCAAAGAAGGGGTTGTAATTTATGTCCTCACACTTAGGAAAGCTTTCATTCCTAAAACATATGTTCAAAGACAAAGTGAAAGGACCCTTAATTATGAAAATATCTGTTATAAAATGCTGGGCTTTGTTTAGTGTAGTCAGTGAAGACCCAGCTATAGTGGTCAAGAAAGAATGATCAAATAACCTATGGCTAATCACTATTACCTTCAGTGGACATGGTTCCCTTTGAACGTTGTATAGCATAGTCTCCCTGGTGCTAAAGGCTGTGTGTGTGTCTTCCTTACATGTTCTTCTCTGTGGAGAAGTATGTGTGTTTGAAAGGTGCTAGGGACCAGCTATCTCTGTCCATCTTCGCAGGGTCTCCAGCTCCTGTCATAGCAGAGATGTAGAAATAGGGGACTCTTCTTGTCCATTGAGTTTATCTTCCTTAAATTCAATCAGAGAAATGTCAAACTCTGCTGTTTGCTTTTAGGAATCAATCAGCGATTTCTATTGGTACTATTCAGGAAAGGACATCATTGATGAATCTGGACAGCACAATTTCTCTAAAGCTCTGGCAGTCACCAAGCAGATTTTTAATTCTCTTACAGAGTACATCCAGGTAGGTGCTAATGAGTGCAGAGTTAACAGCAAATAGAATATTTTTAACATTCTCACTTTCCATATTCTCTAAAGAGTATTTGGATGCACATAGTGATTGGCCAATATACTTCAGCCCCAATGCTGACATTATTTCTTATCTATAAAAAAGAATCATTGGTACTTGTGGTCTATGAGAACCTTCAGTCTGTGGTCCCCTAGTGGGACCTGTTATTGGTGTTGTCATACTTTACTTTCATTTACCTCATATTTTGCTTCTCTTTCTAGACTAACAACTTTAAATGAATGAAAAATGTATTTACCTTAAACTTCTTCAGTCTAGACTATCTGATGATATACCAATATCTGATGATGTAAGCATGGAAAGTAAAGTAGAGAAACTATTTATAGAATTATAGAATAATGGCATAAGCAATATCCTAATAGGGATTTTAAAAAAAGAAACAGAATCTAGCCTACCTGTGGTGGCACATGCCTACAATTTCAGGGCTTTGGCGGCTGAGGCAGGAAGATCTTGAGTTTGGAGCTAGTCTGGGCAACACAGTGAGACTCTGTCACAAAATGAAATAAATAACAATAAAAATCCAGAGTCTTTGAGCTCTTACTGTGGAAGAAGTAATGTCAAGTGGATTTCAGGGTGAATATCTTAATGTTCTAGTATTCTTTCTCTTTCCATAAAATGTTCTATTCATTTCCTACAACAGTCTATCTACTGTGAAGAGAGATGAATGATGAATGATGTATGTAGGTAAACCTGTCTATATAATCAGTAGCCATATCAGCCTTCTGTGATACAAGATTTTTTTGAAGCATAATTGAGACTTCATTTTTTATGTTATAACCAGAAAACTCATGAATAAAATACTTGCACATTTATTAACTGAACAAAACATTTATCTTGTATTCTCTTCTTGTTCCCTAGGAAGAATAGAATATATTGTCTCTACCATGAAAGAGCTTATAATATAGTTGAAAATGCATATAAATATTGAAAAATATTTGGTATGAGATGATCACACATGATTTGAAACAATCATATATATTATGCCTCAAATCATAACTATGATGCACCAAACATGTAGAAATGGAATTGAGGATAGCTTCAACAACATGCTGAGACTCAGAGTCAGACAACAAAGACATAAAACAAACCACATATGTATGAGTTCAATGGAAGAGAAAGCTCTTATGAACCTCAGGGCTTAGTGTCATCACAGAGACATTCAGACTGTAGATAAAGATATATACTGGTCTTTTGGAGAAGTCATGGAGACAGGATTGTGAGAGACTGCGTGAAGAATAATGTCAGTAATTACTTCGATTTGCTGTAACTGAAGAAGAAACAAGGAAAGACATGAGGAATGTCCCATCCCCTTCCTTGTGTACTATCATTTCCTTCTCGCCCCATTCTGTAAGTCAAAAGTAAATCTCAGAGTGTGGCTCTTTTTTATATCATGGAGTTGGAATTTGTTCTATAAAAAACATTATCTGGAAGATGAGGCAGGATGATCACAAGCTCAGGACTTGCCTGAAGTAGAGTGGGTTCAAAGTCAGCTAGGTTAAGGAGATTCTGTCTCAAAATTTAGATAATTTTAAAATGGTTGAGGCTATAGCTCAATAGTAGAGTGACTGCCTTGTATGTGTAAGACCCCAGGTTCAATTTCCAATACTGAAAAAAAAAGAAAGGGAAGGGAGGCAATTAGATTTTCATCCAATGTCCTTATCGTGAGACAACTAGCTCACTCAGATTTTGTTTTCTTGTAAAAATAAATACAAAACTTAGTGTACCACCTGGAAAATGAGTTGTTGTTGTTGTTGTTTTAATGTAGCAAAGTTAAACTGTATTAAAACTCAAAAATAAAAAAAGGAACTAAGGAAAGGACAGTAGTATCCTACTCAAGGGTAGATGTAGAAAGGAGAAAATTGCTAACAAAGATTTCTCCTGGAGTACTTAGCACAAAAGAGAAGCTTGTGTTCTGTTTCTTTCAACAACCAGTTTTGTTCCAAAATGAACTCATTGGCCTCTAGGGCCAAGAAGTTGAATATAGATTCAGTGACTTTTAAACATGCTTGTATGATTTGGGAAAACAGACACTGTTTCTTCTTCTAAACTTTCCCTTGGGAATCCTACCAAGACACTCCCATTCTTGGGGTAGTATGTGTGTCCTTTTTAGATATGTCTTATTGAAGAGAAATTTGGAGACTGATTAAAGTTTAAAAAAAAAACAAGAATAGCCTATGATGGAGAGTTAATAATGATCATAAACAGGAAAGTTATTGTCACAGAAGGACAAACTGGTAACTTAAGTCATCCTACATTCAGCTTTGAGAAAAATCTCTGAGATGGTATTTATATCTGATATTTATATTTATACTGTTAGTATGAAAATCCCAGAAGTAGTTGATCACTAGGATTGTTACTAAGATTTTAAACCTTAATTAGTCAGAGGTTATAGCACTTATATGTAGTTTTGCTTAAAAGCAACAGGTGGTAGATTATGCCTGGTTTTCATACTGTCGTTTCCAACACCCTTGTTTTCCTTAGAAGCCTTGCAGGGAAAGAAATAGGTGAAGAAAGTGTAGAGGAACACTCTTCAGATCTGCTTTAACTACAGTATTTGACTGTTTTGTTAACTATATTCTTCATTCTGAAGCTAAAAGAAAATCACTGGGCTGTGAAATCCCTATTGCCCCCCTAGATAGAATATCCACTGGGAAGAATAAAAAGTATCTTGGGAAAATATTGAACCATAAAATACATGAGTTTGGAAAGCACTGCCCTCTCATGTAAACCCAAGTCAAATGACCTCCTAAGACAGGCTCTGAGGAACTCTTCTCTCTACAGGGCCCTTGCATTGGGAACCAGCAGAGCCTGGCTCACAGTAGGCTGTGGGATGCGGTGGTTGGATTCCTCCACGTATTTGCTAACATGCAGATGAAGCTCTCTCAGGTACTGTGGCCTGTTCCCCTACATATTCCATTCCTGTAAAATGTTGGATTAATTCTCGCCCTTTGGATTTCCTCTTGTGGATGTGGCTGCTTAATCAAAGGCTGGAAAAGCCAAGCAGATTAGGTCTCATTCTTAAAACTGAGAACCAAAATGGGAAGCAGAGATGAATGCCTGGGGAGTGGGGCAGGGGGGCCGAGTCCCAGAGGGGCTTTTGCATGAATGCAGCTTCTTCCTTCCTTGTGTCCCACCAACCTATTATTTTGTAACTGCCTCAACACTGCTTTCCATTGGTACTAATCCCCTTCCTTGTCACTGTCTTGTCATTTTAGAATATTACCCACCGACCTTTCTCACCTGCCAAATGTTGCATGTCTCTGTCATCCACAAATGCCCCCTCCCTTACCCCTGCTTCCCTTCCTTCCCCAACTCTACCTCTCTTTCTCCCCATCTCTCTGGCAAGATGAATCAGAATCACTCAGAGCATTTATTATGAACAAATACATGTAGCATATGTGGTAGCTGATCGCCTCTCTCCATGGCAACACATGAGGGAGCACTTCAAGATGTGTTTCAGACTGATTAGAGGGACACTTGCAGCATTAATTTAAATAATGTACATACAAAAATTTCAAGGCTGTCATACCTGCCTCCTCTCTTTTGGAATGTGCTGTTTAACGCTTCATTTTTTTCCCCTTTTGACTCTGGCCTTATGGGAAGAGGGTTCCTGGGGGACTACTAATTTGGCAGTAGCGTGTCCATGTCTGTGTCAGCCATGACAGTGTGGTGTAGAGGCTCTGGAGAAAAGAGCCCTTACCCTGCCACCTCCTCATCAGTGACTTTTGGAAACTTATTCACTGCTTCTGGCTTTCGGTTTCATCATCTATAAAACATTCAGGGTTAGGAGGAATGGCCTCTGAGCCTCTGCTCAGCTCTAATAGTCTGCCCTACTGTGTGTGTTTCTTTCTTTCAAATGTAGCTGTGACACACAATAGGTAGGGAAGAGTCCCTCAGGAAACTGAATGGCTAGGCAAAGAGCTATGCCATTTTACAAGAGAGACAGAATCTGTAAAAGAGGTGTGACCCAAAGAACATTTTTTAAAATTATCTCCAGCTTATTCCGCCAAGCATTATTTTCTAATTTTAATTTCACCCGTAGATGAGCTCTTCAGATCCCATCCTATATATGCCAAAGGTTTGCAGCACAGAGCCCACATTGCAGTACTCTGCCTGTGTTGCTTAAATTAACACCAAACAAAATGTCAAGACCATCCAGAGGAGTGGCTGTGCTGACAAATTCTTTTAAGAACTCAGTGACACCCTGATCACCACCAACTACAACTAGGTTAAACTAATCCAGGAAGAAAGGAGAATCTACTTGGTAATCTAATGTTTCCTTATTACAACAATATCGCCAATGAAGCTCATGGGAGGTAGTCTTCCAGTATAGAAAATGACAAAATAAACTGGAGAAGGTACCCGATGACTCTTCAATGGATGGGGCTCTTAGGGAGTGTTGAGTAACAGACAGTATATCTGCCACATTTGTCCTAAGGAGAATGTGAAGGAGCACTGATGGATGAATCTTCCCGTACTACAGGCAGTGGATATAAGCGACCTTCATTCACGGCGAGAAGGAGTTCATTCCTGACTTTGATGCAGCCTTCACCTAACTTTTCCAGAGCAGGCCCTCCTTGCTCACTGCCCTGAACTTTGCTGAGGGATCAGATAGCTCAGGGGTATCTCCTGTTTCTGTTCTAGGATTCCAGTCAGATCGAGCTGCTGAAGGAACTCTTGGATCTCCTTCAGGACATGGTGGTGATGCTTCTGTCCCTACTGGAAGGTTGGGCTGTTTGGTATAACTAGGCATTCACATGATTGTAATTGGTCTGAGCACTAACCTTACTAATCACACAGATTATCCTTCCGGCAGGTCACTGATGTCAATAGACATTGGTTAGAATGACAAATTTTCAGAAAGAAAAAAAAAAAGAATGAGTGAGGGGCACATGGTCTGATGGACAAAGCCTGAAACCAACTCATTTGATGCCAATAGGAAAGCCAGAATGAACTGGGGAAAACCTCCAAGCTTTGCCCCTCCCTATCCTCTCGCTCTCCCCATTGCTTTCAACACATCTGGCTGCCAGTGTGTATGCCAGCCATCTAACTGGGCACTCACCCAGGTCAAAGGGGATCAAAGGGACACCATGTATCCCTACATATTCCCAGAGATCTGATAGGAACCACCTCCTAGGCCCCAGGGCAGAAACAAGGCCATGGCGTGGCCATTTCCCTCTTGCCCTGGGTTTCTTCCCCCTTGGCTCCTGGTGGGGTAGTTGTTATGGCTTGCTGCTCTCTATTTTCAAATCATCATGGTCAGAAACAAACTGACTAATTTGGCACAAAAGTCTTCTAAAAAGAGCTACCTGTTCAGTTACACGATAGCTTGGGTTCATTTACATATTTGTATGTCTTTTTAAACCTGCCTCACAGGAAATGTGGTAAACGGAACTATTGGAAAGCAGATGGTTGACACACTGGTAGAATCATCTACTAATGTAGAGATGATCTTGAAATTCTTTGACATGTTCTTGAAACTTAAAGACTTAACCTGCTCAGACACCTTCAAAGAATATGACCCAGATGGTAAAGGGATCATCTCCAGAAAAGAATTCCAGAAGGCCATGGAAGGTCTAAAGCAATATACACAGTCAGAGATCGACTTTCTCCTTTCATGTACAGAGGCTGATGAGAACGACATGTTTAATTATGTTGATTTTGTAGAGCGGTTCCATGAGCCAGCCAAGGACATTGGGTTCAATGTGGCAGTGTTATTGACAAATCTCTCCGAACACATGCCAAATGATTCTCGCCTAAAGTGTCTGTTGGACCCAGCAGAAAGTGTGCTAAATTACTTTGAACCGTACCTGGGTCGAATCGAGATCATGGGTGGGGCCAAGAAAATCGAGCGTGTTTATTTTGAGATCAGTGAATCCAGTCGAACTCAGTGGGAAAAACCTCAAGTGAAGGAATCGAAGCGACAGTTCATCTTTGATGTCGTCAATGAGGGTGGGGAGCAAGAGAAGATGGAGCTGTTTGTGAACTTCTGTGAGGACACAATCTTCGAGATGCAATTAGCATCTCAGATCTCAGAATCTGACTCAACCGACAGACCGGAAGAGGAAGAGGAAGAGGGTGAAGATTCTGCTTATGCGATAGAAATGGACGGGGAGGAGGAGGAAGATAAGTCTTTTGAATCTGCCTCTGCCTTTGCCATGGCCTGTGCCTCAGCGAAGAGAAACGTCACCAACTTTCTGAAGAGGGCAACCCTGAAGAACCTCAGGAAACAGTACAGGCATGTAAAGAAGATGAGTGCGAAGGAGCTGGTGAAGGTGTTCTTCTCTTTCTTCTGGACGTTGTTCGTGGGCCTCTTCCAGTTGCTCTTCACCATCTTGGGAGGAATCTTTCAGATCCTCTGGAACACAGTGTTTGGAGGGGGCCTTGTAGAAGGAGCAAAGAACATCAGAGTGACCAAGATCCTAGGTGACATGCCTGACCCCACCCAATTTGGGATCCATGATGATGCAATGGAAGCTGACAGGGCAGAAGTGATTGAGCCGGGTGTCACCACTGAGCTGGTCCACTTTGTAAAGGGTGAGCCGGGAGATACAGACATCATGTCAGATCTCTTTGGAATCCACTCCAAGAGAGAAAGTGGCTTAAAACAAGGGCCTGAAGTGGGATTGGGTGACCTCTCTGAAATCATCGGCAAGGATGAACCCCCTACATTAGAGAGTACTGTGCGGAAGAAAAGGAAAGCACAGGTGAGCATAATCCCTGTCCGTTATCCTTGTCCCCACATGACTGTAACATGTCTTGAAATCAGTGCATGGTTTGCACAGGTAATAACATTAATGCTTGTTCAGATAGAATTATTCTGGCATCCCAGATTTGCCAGGTATGGGGACATTGGGACTTAGATGAGTGGTTCAGTGTTTAGCCACCAAGAGGACTACTAGAGTACATTGTAGAGCTTGAACATATGATGGTCCGAAACCTTCACCTGCTTCAGACTTTTATTAGATTAGTGTTCATGGTGCACAGGCTGATTCAGTGGAAGCATAGGAAACCAAGTGTAATGAGTGAGGAGATTTCTTATGAGGCAGCATTTCTATATACCCTGTAAGCTCTGATGAACTCCATTTCACTGAAGCTCTATAGTAGATACGTTCTGTTCCTCTTGTTAACGTTATAATCCCGATAGATCAGAGTTTCATTAGCTGGAAAGTTTACTAAACACTAATACTTAGCAATGTCATATGATATTGATGATGATAATTACTACTGTTTATTGACAGCCTATTATGTCAGTGAGTCTGATCACGCCTGGAACATTTTTATCATTAGGGCTTTGAGTCAGTCAACTAGATCAAATGGATAAGACAAAAGTAACTTAGAGACCATTGGCCACAGGATGTTCTGGGTGTTCCCTTCTCTTGCAACATCCAACTCACTGTGTCACTTTAGCATCAAAGGAAGAAGTGAGGTTGCAGACAAAAATCACATCCATCCATTAACTTCATTGTCACCTAGTGATATGCTAACATGCACATGTCACTATTCTGGCGTCTGAGAATTGAGTGATAACTGAGAAAGCCTTTTGCCTTGTAATTTTATAGAAAAGACAGACACTGAACCAGTCGGTGAAAATAAGAAGTATGCTACGAAGGAAGTATTGAGAAGTGGAGGAGAGGCGTGGAGAGCCAGGGAGGGAGGTACCTGAGAGATTGAGATTTGTACTGACTGTGGGCCAGGCAGGAAAACTCAAGCTACAGGTACCAGCATAGGTATCCTTCCTGTATCATTCATTTTGCATTGCCTCTTGGATAGGCTCATGACACAGAACTATTTGATAAAGGCTAGAGACTTCGATAAAGGAAGGTACTATGTGCACCAGACTCTGTTCTGGTTAACAAAAAAAGAGTTTTGCTTTCATGAAACTTAGTCTCTAGTGGGAAAAGATAACAAGTAAAGAAGATAATCACCTTTGGTGATGTTTGTTCAGGTTAATAAACAAACTACCGGGTTAAAAGGGACAGGGTGGAATCATCTAGATCCTCTGGATAGATATATAAGTCTTGATAGCATTTGCTATAATCATGGCAGCCAAAAAGGTTCCTGGAAAGACAAGATCTGAGCCAAATCTTGAAGCATGACAGGCATATGGAAAGCCAGGGTTTCATGATCCAGGCAGGGGTAAGACTACTGGAAAGTTGCTGGTGCACAGAAGGATTCAGACTCCTTTCCATGAGAGGAAAGATTGGAGCACTGGAATAGAAAAACAATAAGTCAAGTAGTACTACAGGAGAACAAAGACGGCGAGAAAGCCCGGACCCTACAGGGTAGGCTGGCCTCACTGAGGAGCTTGGTTTTATTCTGAGTGTAGTGGCTATCAGCCAGAGGAACCAGGAAAGTGACAGGAGGATTTGGGGACAGGCTTGTCAGATAGAGGGGGATTCCAGATTAGATACCCTGAAACCCATGTCCTATCTCTCTCCTCTCTCCTGCTTCCATAGGGCTCCCTTGAGGTTTGAGTGTAAGTTTCCTACTTGCGTTGAGTGAATAATAGGAGGGCAACTGGATTTTGCAATGCTTGTCTTGGCATCTCTCCATAGCAGCAGGTTTGATGTACAGCAAGACACTTTACACCCTGAAATCCTGAAAGAAGCTGAAATGGAGTAGGGGTTGGGGGGTTGGGACACAGACACACACACACACACACACACACACACACACACACACACACACACACACAGGGAATTGTAACCATAAAGAGAAAGGTTCGTCCTGGGCTTGTTTCTCTGAGGAAGTCTTGACTGGTTGCTGTGTTTTGATCTAGGCAGCAGAGATGAAAGTGGGGCATGACGTGGAAGGAAAGGCTGAATCTGAGAAGGCTGAGTAAGTTCCTGGTGGCGTGGGCTACTCTGCTTGCTGCGGTGGATAACGGTGGCTGGTAGCTGCCATTGTGTAACTGTGGTAAATAGAAAACCTGACTTCCATCCATGCAAGCAACAGGTATTCTGCAAGCCCTGGGCATACTTTTTATTTAACCTCAGCTCTATAATACAGTTATTAACTTTATAATTCCAATAGTACATCAGGGTTTCATTGATTGGACAAATCATCAAGCACCCACATTTAGTAACTTCATATAACATTGAGAGTAGACAATTTGTGATGTTTATTGAATAACTACTATATGGCAGGCCTGTACTTAGATCTTTCCAACATCACATTTAATTCCTGCTCGTTTATAGGAATAGGTACCATTGCTAATCCTGAGAAGGCTTACTTAGTAAGGAAAGGACACCATTTTTTAAGGGAGAAAAAAAATGGTTAAGTGTAATTCCCAAACAGCAAACACTCATTATATCCGGTGTACACACTGGCTCATCAAAATGCCCACTACTCATTAAACATAGAGTTTATGCCCAGGCAGTGGGTTCATAAGGGCCAAGCTTGGCCTGCCTTTCTCCTACATGCTGAGTCAGCATCCCACCCCTGCAGCATGGAAGACAGAGAAAAGGAGGACAAAGTCAAGGAGGAGGGACAAGCCGAGTACCTGTGGGCACAAGCACCGGCGAAGAAGACGCGCCGACGTGGTCAGAAGGCTGAGAAGCCTGAAGCCTTCATGGCCAACTTCTTCAAAGGGCTGGAAATCTACCAGACCAAGTTACTGGTGAGCTCTCTGCCCCTTGCTCCTTCCTCCTGGAGGCACTGGCCTGGCAGACCTCAGAGAGCTGGCCACTGGTGTGTGTCGCTTTTCCTTAGACATGCTTCCTCCACTTCCTCATTCCCATTCTTCTCCTCTTTCTGTTTATCTTCCTCTTTCTCTTGTGTTGAAGGAAATAGGGGCTTACTTGGACACCACTCCCAAGCAGATTAATGTGCATTTTCATGGGGACTTAGTTGATCCTGGTCCAAAATTTCAGTAAATCAATCAATTGGGATAAAGAAAAAAGTTTCTTTATGAGTTTATGTTGCCCAACTAGCTACCAAAATATCGTTACTGTAGGTACAAGCAAGCTTCAGTGTATATATAGTATGTATACATTTGTTCTTTTTCTGATCAGTTGCTCCCTGAGGCTCACTTGCTCCTCAACCAGGATTACACTTTAGCCGGCACCATCAGTGAGGCCCCATGCAGGGTCAAATTCTCCCCAGCTGCTGCAGGTCCATCCTCTGAGTGCTGAGTTTTCCAGGGAAGATGGCAGTGAGAATGGTACACTCTGGGAAAGTGGATGGAGGAGGTTCCTAGGGCTGTGATTCAGAAAGGGATAAGAACTCTGGGCCACAGTCTGGCTGCACTGTGTAGGGGAGGGGACTGCTTCTCTCTCTGCTGGCAGCATGTTGAGAGATCTGGTTTATTGGGACATGACCCAAAGTAAGGATCCCTCAGACATTCTCTTAAGCCATTTTTAAATAATCAACATTTCTGGTTCCCCTCAAACAGTTTGTGCCTGTGCTGACAAGGCCAGGGCTTCCTTAGGAGAGTGGGAACTGAGGCACAGATAACCTGCAAACCTCTACCCAGGGCACATCTTTCAGTGTCAGACAGGGAGGTTCTCCTTCCTACCCTTGGCTCTTCTACTTCTGCTCATTCTTTTTTTTTTCCAGCACTACCTGGCCAGGAATTTCTACAACCTGAGGTTCCTTGCTCTGTTTGTAGCCTTCGCTATCAACTTCATCCTGCTTTTTTATAAGGTGATACTTCATTGAGATGTTATTTGCTAAATACACAACAGACTAAGCATGCTCTACGTGGGGGAAAAGCTATAACAAAAACTGTTACTCTTACTTGGAACAAAAATTTAATGTCCAAGGAAATTTCTAAGACACTGACCTCTAAAAAATTGTACAATGTATAGTGACAGGAGGAAGGCCGACAGGAGAAGCAAATTAGGAACCTGTTTCAACTGCTTGGATTCCTATTTGATTTAATCTCCAAATATTGAGCATAGCCCATATGCTCGATGCCATGATAGGAACTATGGGAAATTTTGAAATAAATAATGAATACAGTTCTTTCCTTGAGGACTAGGCTAATCATGGGACCCATCAGTGTTGACACATAGGAGAAACCATCATGAAGGAAGAGTTAGTAAGCGTTAGGAACAGAGGGTCCCTCACCATAATTGAAGACTCTGAACATGGATGAGTATGTCTTACATGTTGCATGTAAATGGCTGTTAGTGAATTAAAGAATGGTCCTAGATGCTTGACATAGTCTGCTTTTTTCTGTTTTTCTGCTGGTTCTTGATTAAAACTAGCAATCCAATTTGTTACAAAACAGTGTTTTCTCTACATCAACCTTCAGTTTGACAAACTACTGACTTTTGTTGACCATAGAAGTTAAGTGGTAGTCTATAGTAAGGTGTGTGTCATTGGTTTAAAACATACAGCAGGCACTTGAATTTACAGGATAAAAGCTTGAGAGGTGTAGAACTGAGAGTCATTTGTAGAAACAGAAGGGGAAGCCATGAATAAGAGGAAGAATGGAGAGTATGGAATGTGTATGAATTGTGCTTGTGCTCCATCTGGACTCTTGCTACCTTCTCCTTCACCATAGGATTACAACACATATAATTAAAAGGCTCATAATTTAATTTTTTTTTACTTTCTTTTCAAGAGATAGGATTTGTCTCTACCTAATTCTTATTTGCAAGTATTAGAAACAACACTGGGGATTCTTAACAGTAAGTTACCTAATTGCCCCATACTCAGCAGGTAACATTGGGTTGGTAACAGTATTAATAACATAAACTCTATAGGAAAAGCCCAGGGATTGAAGCTCCTTCTGATAGTTATAAGTGTGTATCTTGGGCCAGGTCACTGAAGAACCTTTGGAGGAAGAGACGGAGGATGTTGCAAACCTGTGGAACTCCTTCAATGATGATGATGAGGAAGAAGCCATGGTATTCTTTGTTCTTCAGGAGAGCACTGGGTATATGGCACCAACACTGCGTGCCCTGGCCATTGTCCACACCATCATCTCTCTGGTCTGTGTGGTGGGCTATTACTGCCTGAAGGTGAGCATTCTAGCCATCTGCCACTCGAGGTCTTTTCTGGCTTCTGGAGGAAGAAGTGTCATTTTTTTTTAATTTATTTTGCAATACAATTCAGTTCTACATATCAGCCACGGATTCCCTTGTTCTCCCCCCTCCCGTCCCCCTCACCTTCCCCCCAACTCCCCCCCCCATTCCCATCTCCTCCAGGGCAAAGCCTTCCCCACAGACTGAGGTCAACCTGGTAGACTCAGTCCAGGTAGGTCTAGTCCCCTCCTCCCAGGCCGAGCCAAACAATCCTGCATAGGCCCCAGGTTTCAAACAGCCAACTCATGCAATGAGCACAGGACCTGGTCCCACTGCCTGGATGCCTCCCAAACAGATCAAGCCAATCAACTGTCTCACCCATTCGGAGGGCCTGATCCAGTTGGTGACCCCTCAGCCATTGGTTCATAGTTCATGTGTTTCCATTCATTTGGCTATTTGTCCCTGTGCTTTATCCAACCTTGGTCTCAACAATTCTCGCTCATATAAACCCTCCTCATTCTCGCTAATTGGACTCCCAGAGATCCACCCAGGGCCTAGTCATGGATCTCTGCATCCAGATCCCTCAGTAGTTGGATGAGGTTTCTAGCACAACAATTAGGGTGTTTGGCCATCCCATCACCAGAGTAGGTCAGTTCGGGCTGTCTCTCGACCATTGCCAGCAGTCTGTTGTGTGAGTATCTTTGTGGATTTCTGTGGGCCTCTCTAGCACTTTGATTCTTCCTATTCTCATGTGGTCTTCATTTACCAGAAGTGTCATTTTTTAGTCCACCATCTCTTTGTCTTCTAAGGTACTAGAAGAGTAAGGCTGGTGGGACATTACAAGTGCTGCCACTCAGGGGCTGCTTACAACCACAGGATCTCAATCACCAACTTGAGCTTTTAAATGAAGATCTGCAAAGTGAGCTATAGACAATCCTGCTGTAGGGGAAGCACTTCAGGCACCTCTTAGTATCAGAGTCATTAGACTAAGGCACACATGAAATTATCCCTGAGAGCTTCTTGTGATCTTTGAATTGCTGTCAGATTTTTATAAAAAGTACCTTTCCATTAGTTTGTAACCATTTGAGACCCAAGATGGATCTCACTGATGCATTCCTGTTTCAGTTATCTACATAACAAACCACTCCAAAATTTGATGTGAAGAACCAACATTTTCTCTCTCTCAGTCAGTGGACTGACAGGATATACTCAGTCATTCCTCTGCTGCATGTGAAAGGGCTGTGTCTGCAGCCTTTTGGGATCTCAAGTAGGTGAAGATGGAGAGTTCCTGTGTCTGGCGTCTTAGCAGAGGAACAGCTAGGAAGTGGGTCTCAGCTGGAGTAGTGGGAGTCCATCTTCCCTCACTCCATGTAGACATGGAGCATCTCCCTTTGCACATGGTCTGCCCATGTAATCTCTGCAGTAGGGTAGACTTCTTGTATGGATGACTTATAATTTCCCTAAGGATCACAGAAGTGGAAAATGCTAGCCCATCTTAAGAAACAGACCCGGAATTAGCCACATTGTCACTGTCATTTCCACCATCCTCTATTGGTTAAAGCAAGTCACATGATGGCCCAGATTCACAGATGAATTTGGAGGTTTCTCAAGTCATGAACCAGGAAGTGTCACTCACTTGGGCCATCTTTAGACACTACTGTAGGTACATTAATCTTCAATCATTCTGTTTTGTGTTCTGTGTTCACTTCTATTTCTAGACCATGATAGTATAGGTTACTTTTCTTGTTGCTGTAAAAATACTTGTCTTATTTGGATCACAGTTTGAGGGTACAGTCCTTCATGGTGGGGAAGGTACAGCAGTGAGAGATGGTCTAGCTGTGGTAGCAGGAAGGTGAGGCAACCGGTCACATTATATTCAGACAACAGCGAATGCTGGTGATTCACTCACTTTCTCCTTTTTGTTCAGTCCAGGACCCGAACCCCATGGGATAGGGTCACCTACTTTCAGGGTGCATCATCAGTTAAACCTCTCTGGAAGCACCTTCACAGACAGGCCTAAAGGTGTCTCCTTGGGATGCTAAGTCTTGTCAAGTTGACAATCAAGCTTAACTATCACACCAATTTTTATAAATACTTTATTTTCATTACATTTCCCCTTATTTATTATGTAAGCAGTGTCCTCAACTATACACTAAGTTATCTTCTTGGAAAGAATCCAAGAAATGTATTCCTATCTTTGTGTCCCTTTCTTCTCCTGGTGAGACAGCATCATGTGAGAACTCCAGCTTCCCTCCTGGAGAGAACACGTGCTTCCCTGCTGTACTGAGTCTGCCGCTGTAACCATGACAGCGTGGGCTCTGGAGCCAGGCTGTCTAGGTCGAACTCATAACTGTTGTGCCATGTGACCTCCCTAGTGCGTTTCTACAACCCCCCCCAAAAAAAATGAGTATTAGGATAATAACTGACAGTCCAGGAAAATAAATGAGTCCACATGTACAAAGATACCCAGAACATGGGCAACAGTCAATCCAGAAGCATGTTTGCTGTTCTGCTGTTTCTGGATCTGAAATCCAAGAGCTTGCAGGATGAGGTACATTTATATTGGTGACCTGTAGAGGATACGGTGGATTAAAATTCCAAAGATGGCCGGGCGGTGGTGGCGCACGCCTTTAATCCCAGCACTCGGGAGGCAGAGCCAAGCGGATCTCTGTGAGTTCGAGGCCAGCCTGGTCTCCAAAGCGAGTTCCAGGAAAGGCGCAAAGCTACACAGAGAAACCCTGTCTCGAAAAAAAAAAAAAAAAATTTCAAAGATGTACAAATACCTTGAAGGACAAAGCAGAATGTTTGGAGTCCCAGGTATCAGTAGTAGACTACATCTTGGTGATCACATTATTTTATAGAGCCTTCCAGACAGACAGCAGAGTAGCAGCCACTGATTTCCTCATGGTGTGTCATGCCTAATATCAGCCCCTTTGCTACCTTCCTATCATTGGTCTTCAGTGTTGTCTGCTGTTTTCGAGGTGGGAGGGGCAAGAAGTAAGTTTTTACAAATAATTCTTGCCCTTTTGTCTCAGAAATAACAAAGCGTAAGTAGTATGAAGGTAATGACCTTTGACGAAAAATATTAAAAACATAGTTTGGAAACTAAAGTCCCAAAGACGTCACAAAGTAATTAGAGGCATCCTGCATGAATGAGATACCTAGGCTGTGTATAAATGATTGTTATTTATTTATTTGGCTAGAAGAGGTCTAGCTATTCTGACTTCTCATTTCCTGGGATTTCAATGGCATTTTCTGACTTCTCTAAATCTATCCCGTTAGTTGAAGTAATTGGATTGCTCCTTATCCCTGTTTGTGTTGATCTCTGGTTATATTTATATATAACTTGATTGGTTAATGTTCCCAATGCCGGGACAAAACTCCCAATAGAGGCAATTCAGGAGAGGAAGGATTTGTTTTGGCTCTTGGTTTGAGGATTTGGTCCATCATGGTGGGGAAGACGTGGCAGTGCGAACAGCTCCTGCAGTGGCAGAAGTGTAAGGCTCGCTCAGATCCAGTCTCAGGAAGCAGGGAGGAATATTGGTATTCTACTGGCCTCTCTTTTTACCTCTTTTTATCCAGTCCCATGTCCCAGCCCCTCGATGTTTCCACCTGCACTCAGGATAGGCCCTTTCTCCTCAGTTAAACCTCTCTGGAAATGCCCCCAGAGGCAGTGTTTCCCCTATGTCATTCTAAAGTTGATCAGGTTGACAACGAAGACTAGCCATCACAACAGCCATGCTACCAGGTCTAGTCTAAGATGAAGGTGAGTGTATACACCTGTAACCATAGCTCCTGGGAGGATGAAGTAGGAGGACTGCCAGGAATTTGAGACCACACTGAACTACGTGGTGAGTTTCAGACCAGATTGGACTACATAAATGAGATCCTGTCTTTAAAAAAGTTACAGTTATGTACCATGCCCACCCACCAACCTGCTTAATACATGGTTTCAGCTACTTACAGTAAACTGTGGTCCAAAAATTAAGTAAAAGTTCAATAAATAAACAACATATAAATGTTAAATTATATGTTATTTTTAACTATACACAATCCTATTCTGTCCTATTTGGAACATGAATCGCCCCTTTGTCCAATGTGTTCACACAGTATACTCCACCTGCTAGTCACTTAGCCCTCTCAGTTATCACACTGACTGGCCAGATAGCACAGTGCTCATGTTCGAGTAATTCTTACTTTACTTAATAATGGCATCCAAAGTACAAGAGTACTGATACTGGAGAGTTTGCAGTGCCAACGAGAAGACATACAGTGTTCAAGTGACGATGTGACAGTTCTTAGTGAGAGAAGAACAGAAAATCAGATGAGGATGCTGAGATCTACTGTAAGGGCATCTTCTATCCATGACGTTGTGAAGAGGCAAAAAGAAATATGAGCTGGTTTTACTGTCACACCTCAGTCTGCAAAAGTCAAGGCCATGGTGTGTAATGGGCAGTGAAGATGGAAAAGGCCATCAAATTCATGCATGTCTAAGAGAAAGCATAGTGCATACAAGTTTGGTTCTATCCATGTTTTCCGGGACTCCCCGGGTGTTTTGGAATGTGTCTCCCACAAATAAGCAGGTCTATTGTGTAAGAGAGTGACTGGAAGGAACAGCAGAAAGAAGCAAGTTTGCTGGAAAGAAGAAAACATCAGTATACTGTAACAAGTGTGCACAGAAGCCTCTGAACTGTATCACTGTAACTATCAAAACACATTGTGTCCACTAATCTTTAGGCCATGACATGGCTATGACCCTCCCTACTAGTGACTGTTGGGAAACTGCCACACATTCCCGGGTTGACCAATCTTCTAGAATAGTTCATTGTCCTTTCTATTTCTTGGTTCAGTTCTAAGCCTGGCAGTCCTAGTGGACAATTCCCATTCAGGCTTGGAACTAAACATGGCCTTTTAGGACTCATGCATGGCTTACTGTTGTCAACTGTTTAACCTTAGAGAGTGACTCAGACCAGGCGAACTTTTGGAAGGGTAGGTGTAGTAGCCAAGGAGTGAGATTTACTTAGTATTGGCCATAAAACTAGTTACCTTAAAAATCCCAGTGTAGGGCTTAGAGACAAGGCTCAATGGTTAAGACCACTTGATGCTTTTCCAGAGGACCTGGGTTTGAGTCCCAGCACCCACATGGCAGCTCACAACCACCTGTTTCTCTAGTTTTAGGGCATCTGATGTTCTCTTCTGACCTCCTTGGGCACTAGGCATGCAAATGGTGCCTATATATATATAGGCATTAAATCCCAGTATAAAGGGTTACTGCCACTACACAGGAAGGTTGATTTGTGACAGGTTCTGGGAGAAGGTACATTAGGCACAGACCTCTAGGTTATGAGTGTCTTCTCCTTTGTAGGTGCCTCTGGTGGTATTCAAAAGGGAGAAAGAAATTGCCAGGAAGCTGGAGTTTGATGGCCTTTATATCACTGAACAGCCATCTGAAGATGACATCAAGGGGCAATGGGACCGCTTGGTGATCAACACGCCGTAAGTGCCCTTCATTCCAATCCTACAGAAGCAAGTGTCTGTGTTATCACCATGAGCAAATGACACGCTCTAATACCAGTACATTTACAGCTATGAAAGTTGTAAGATAAATTACTTACCTGAGACACTGAGAAGAATGCACTGCAGCTTTCCAAGGAGGAGATGGGCCAAGCCATGCATTTGTGAGCAGGGAAATCCATAAACAAGTAGAACAACAGTTGTCAAAGCTGGTTTTGTTTTTTCACAGCAAGGGCATCATGGGATAGGGCAGTTCTGACAATAGTGTCATTACTCACTTAACCACATACCATGCATAGATGCCTTTTCTCTTAAAATTTAATTATAAACTCAAATTTAAATGACACATAATGGAATATTTAATTACTTTACAGAACGTGTTATAATTCAACACATGTATATTATCTAGTGTGTATTATCAAATCAGGGTAATCAGCATTTCTGTATACTAAAATGTTATCACTTCTGGTCCTGGGAACCTTTATATTTTCTCTAGTTATTTTGAATTGATGATTAGTTGTTGTAGGCTCTATTTGACCTATTTTGCTACATAGAATTACTGGGTCTTGGTGCCTATTATCCACTCTTAGTTTTCCCGTTTTTATATTGCTAGGTACACACAAGAACCTATAAAATATGCACATTTATTTTAATAGAGAGTAACAAACCACAGAGATTAAAGCTAGAACATTGTTGCTAGCCTGAAAGCCCTGTTATCCTCACAGTCATGTTCCCACAACCCCAGCTAACATATTCCGGAATATCCATTAGTGGTTAATGATATTGATCCGTAAGTAGTTATTAGTGCTATTACTTATGGAGTCATTATCTTGCTTTAACTTACATTTTAACCAGTTCCTTGTGCCTAAACACATTACTTCACTTTAAATATTCTGAACTCTATGTATAAGGGATTGTCGTATTACATGTTATACAGGTAGAGAATCTTTTATTCATCATTATGTGTTGTTTCTGATCCTTGGTGAACTCACCTATGTTGACAAGTTGTTCTCAAAACTGTAATGTTTTCCAAGTAAGCGTATTTACAAGCAAGACTTGGTGCATTTTCCTGACAGTAGATATTTCAGCTGATTCCAGTCCCCACTCTTACAATCAGCACTACCATAAAATCCCTGTGTCTGTACGCATGTGAAAGAGCTCTTCCCTCTGAAGGGACTTGGCTCAAGAGTAAGGTATGGGAAATGCTTGGTCCAGTATCATTATAAACTGCTAGTCAGAGACTTTCTACTTCTCTACCTGTTTGCCAGCACTTGTTAGTGTCAAGTAATTTTGGTGGTCTGGCAGGAGTATAATCTCATTGTACATTCTCCAGTTACTAAAGAGGCTAAGGATTTAAGCATATTCTTTACGAATTTTCTTTTGCAGGTCTGTTCTCTAGGCCTTAAAGAAAAATAACCAAGTAAAAATGTATGTTCTACCTTCAAGGAACTTCTTGATCTTAACCCCAGTAAGGGGTGGGGGGACAAGACACTCAGAATACTGAGACCAAGATAAGATCATGTCCATGAAACAGTCTTAGACATGGCCCTTTAGCATTTATTGTGGAATATTCTACTTGGAACAAAATAGGACCAAGAAATCAAGATATATGCTGGAGAACATTTGTATACAACAGGGAAGAAAGCTGGTCAAGGTGACCCACATGTATAATCCCAGTACTTAGAAGCAGAGAGGAAGATCACTTTAAGGTGGAACCTAGCTTTGTCTGTGTGGTGAGTTCTATGTCAGCCAGGGCTACATAATAAAAACCTACCTAAAAAAAAGACAAGAATAAAGTAGGGAATGGGGGTTATCAAGAAGGTAGAGAAAAGATGGCTTGATTTTTATTCTTGTATGTGATACATAAAAAAATCAAGTAGCAATACACACAGAAGAGGGTAAAAATAATTTTTATCTTACAAATATATCTATTGGCAGTTTATTCCATAATACCAGCATTTGTTTTTAATTGGCAATTAGATGATTAAGATGAATAAACAATTTTAACAGCAACCAAAACAAATCTGTGAGAATATATTTACCCTCAAGACTGCCATCCTTTTAGAAGAGGAAGGTCTTAACTTTCTTATCATGAATTAGTGGTCTTTGTAGAATCGGAGACTGTGGTGTGACTCAAACTCACACAGAATGACTCAGATAGAGGAAAACAAAGTAAGAATGCACATAGCAAGGGTTAGTTCTGCTCCAATGGCAGCCCTCTGGGAAACCCTTTCAGGAAGGGTCCGCTCATTCTGGCTAGAAGCCACATATTTTATATATTTTTGCTAACATTCCCAAGGATGGCAGTTTTTTGTTTGGCTTTTTGTTTGTTTGTTTGTTTAATGAGAAGAAAAACTTGGAATGGAACTAGAGAAATTCCAGGCAGAGGCACATATTATCTCTGAGGAGGCGGGGATGTCATAGACCCCTCTCTTCTAGAGGTGGCATCTTGTTCTAAGTCCTGGAAGGAAGTGGGTACCACAGGAGTAGAGGATCCTGGGGTCAATAAAAACCCTGTCTAAATTAACCTGTTACTTCTGGTTGGGAAATGAATATAAGAGAGCTTGTCTATGTATCCCAGCACATCCCACACCATTCCATCTCCCCAGTCACTGACGGTCACAGAATGGGAAGCATACACTTCCTTCTGGTTTTGGTTTCTAGTGTATACTGGGATCCAGGTAGATGGGCCAAGAAACAGCTGGATTTGTGCCCCTGAAGGAACAGCAGAGGGTGATAACAGGAGGCCCACTGGGCCTGTGGTAATGAGACTTGTCCAGGAACATGACACCAGGGGAATGGGGAAGGGAGTGTGCAAGGCAGGATTGGTTTTCAAAACAAAACCCAACAACATATGTTTCTTGCTAGTGTGTCATCGTGATTCCTTGTTCTTAACCATAATTTTGAGACAGAAACTGCAGAGTGGCTTTCCAAGTGCCTCCAAGTTGATAAACAGCAGTAGACCTGTAAGGCAGGAGCCCTGGGATCACTCTGAACATCAATCACTGCTCACAGTGAGCAGGACAGAAATCAAGAGCTCACACATCCAGACATTCAAACTGGAAGGTTTCTTGATGTGTTTGCCCTGAAGTTAATAATTAAGAACCTGTCCTTTTCATCTTCATTTCAGATCTTTTCCCAATAACTACTGGGACAAGTTTGTGAAGAGAAAGGTATGCCTTGTCTGGGGGTAGGGGTGCGAGTTGTGAGCTGTTTTCACTCTTCACATACTAACCTGAGTAAAGGTGATGTCAGGCTTAAGATGGTGTCTTAAGATGGAGAATCAGTTGCGGAGGGTTTGCATAGACGGGCTTCCTGCTTTGCTCTCTTACTCATCTGCCTTCAGCACAACCCAGGCTGCTTTCTCCACATTAGGCTTTCCTCTCTCTCCAAAGAGACACTTACCTTAAAAGAAGTTCTCACTTACTTGCCGTTATTTCTTTAGTTTTCTCTAGGGGTAACTTTTCCTTTTCTGGCCAGTTTTGAATGGTATCTTGTTTAACCCTTTGAAAAAGCTCAGAGCATAGCAAAACTCCCAAAAACCTCAGAGCAAGAGAAAAGTTGGGTGGTGGTGTATAGCCACAGCTCACCCTGTCGTTTCTCTGCTTTAGGTGATCAACAAGTATGGAGATCTCTACGGAGCGGAGCGCATTGCTGAACTCCTGGGTTTGGACAAAAATGCCCTGGACTTTAGCCCAGTAGAAGAGACCAAAGCAGAGGCAGCATCTCTGGTGTCATGGTACAGATCTGAGGAGTTCAAGTCCAAGTGGCTAAGATAAATTCTTGTTTTCCATTCCTCTCCAGTGAGCTAGAGGGGAAAATATCAAATTCTTATGCTCCAAAGAGCCCAAAGACTATGGTTTCCAGGTGCATGGATCAAACCATTCTTTGTCTTATGGCCAGTCAATTCTTATGCCCCAAAGAGTCCAAAGACTAAGGTTTCCAGGTGCATGGTTCAAACCATTCTTTGTCTCTGAGAAATCTATATAACTTGAAAAAAAGTTGAAGCTGTGTTTCTGTTTTTAACCCTAAGAAATTATCCCCTTTACTAAGCATTTAACTAACACTGACATTTATAAGTTATGAAATTATTGTCCCTCTTTAGGCTAAGTTCCATCGACATGAAGTACCATATTTGGAAGCTGGGGGTGGTTTTCACTGACAACGTAAGTATAGTACCAGAAAAAAACAAGCTCTTGTGTCGCAAGTCTGGGGATCTTGTTGGATGCCACAGGGAATAAGCAAACCCTAAGTTTCTCAGGCAGTCTCCCTGGGTAATCATGGGTCAGGAGCCTGAGAGGTGCTAGGGAAAACTCTGCCTTGTGCAAATAGTATAACATGAATGGGGCTCCTTTGTAAGATCTTGGGACAACTTACAGCACCCCAGTATCTATGCCCCTTTTCTTCATGTTGTTCCTCAAAATGAGGGGAATATAGTTTAACGAGCCCATTGTATCATGAATGCCTGAAAATTTGCCAACTTTCTCTCATTTCCATAGTCCTTTCTCTACCTTGCCTGGTATACAACCATGTCTGTCCTGGGCCACTACAACAACTTCTTCTTTGCTGCTCATCTGTTGGATATTGCGATGGGCTTTAAGACCTTGAGGACAATCCTTTCATCTGTAACTCACAATGGCAAACAGGTACTGGGTTTATACTTATTTGGAACAGAATGTATAGAAAAGAAAAAAAAGTAGTATGCTGGTATATGTCAGAAAGGAATTTATCATAGTATGTAATGCTCCTTTCTTGGCCAAATACTTGAACTACTAGCAATTTGTTTTGTTTTGTTTTTTAAATAATATCCAACTGATGATGGAACATTGAAGTTAGAATCAACTAGGAGAATAAGGATGGGCTGAGCAGAATAATGAACTTATCAGAATTACTTTGGATACCTTTTATGGACCTACCTCTTCCTCCATGGCTCTTATTTAACCCCTGGGAGATATAGATAGATAGATAGATAGATAGATAGATAGATAATAGGGACACATGTCAGAAGTGCCTGATCTATCTAATAATCAATAAGTTAATAGGTATACTTTTAATATACATTTATATATATTATGCATACATACATAATGTGCACACCTACATGGCTAAACAAAGAATTGACTTTGACCATAAGTAAAAGACTAGATACAACGAGTATGGTCATATTAAAAGCCTCTAATGGATTCTCCTTATTTGCCAATTCAAACTGCTCAGCATTTTCTTGTTAAGTATGTATGAGATATACTCCATCATATTTCTAAACTTTTGTATGGGGCAGGGCAACAAGACAGTTAAAATATGCCGAACTTATGCCATGTTTCAGGTACTGAGTCTCACCTTACAAGGTAGATGCTAATCTCAAAAGAATTCAGGCTAAGAGGTTGTGTGGCCCCTAAGACTACACAGCTGGTATGTGGCAGAGCTTAGGTCAACAATCCCTTTGCTTTCCTTTGGTAAGAGGACCAGTTCTCCCTCTCCTCTAAAGCACTTTCTAGGAGCTCTGTTCCTCAAGATCTGAGGAATTTCATCCCTCAGGAAGCCAGAAATACATCAGTTTGGGTGCTTACCTTAGCATTTGTGCTACTTCCTTTTGTACAGCTCCTCAAAAGCAAAAGATCTACACTGTTTATCTTCCAATATCTAGTCCCTGCTGGAATGGGCCACAGAAGCAGGTCCTTGGACTCCTCATTCATGCTGCTGAATCCCTGGCCTCCTTATATAGCATGGAAGTAAACATGTCCTGTGACACCATCTTGGGCCTAAGCAGACTCCTTGGCTCAACCATTGTAATATTTATAATAACTTCAAAGCTGTGGTGATTATGCAGATTATGGCTGTGATATAATATAGCTGAGGGATAGCTACCAGTCTGAGGAAACTTCAGATTTTCTCAGTTGCAGCTTTAGAAAACAAGTAGCTCTATAAACACAAGAGAACCCTCTCACAGCACCTTCGCTTAGATTCACAGGTACATTTGCCCTTCGCCTGTGTACAAAACCATACTCCAGGCATTAGTGTGGTGGAGATGCCTTAACAAATTACTAGATTGATGACTTAACTGATGGAAATCAATAACTTCAGGCTCTTGAGACTGGAAGTGGAATATGAAAGTGTTAACTGGGTTGGTCTCCTCTGAGGTTTCTCTCCTTGCTTTGTGCACAGTGATGCTTTGGTGCCATTACACACAACTGTCCCTCTGGGTGCATATGTTTTAAGTCATCGGGCTCTTAATCTCCTTTTATAATGACATGAATGAGATTGGACTGGGGACTACCCACACAGCCTCCTTTATAACTTGACTTCTAAACACTGTCCCCAAATAGTCACAGCCTGATGTACTTACTAGTGGTTAGGACGCCACACATAAACCACAGGGAGGATACAGTTCGGCCCTGAACACTTCACCTATGAACTCCTTTCTCCTGATAAGCCTGGTCAGCCTGTTCTCCACCAGTAGTCAAAGCACATCTCTGTCTTCCTTACTACTGGGGACCCCATGAGCCTTTCAGGGTTGAAATTCCACTCCTTTATATCTGTTTCCTCATCAATAGCTGGTTCTCACTGTTGGCCTCCTGGCTGTAGTCGTTTACCTCTATACTGTGGTGGCTTTCAACTTCTTCCGCAAGTTCTATAACAAAAGTGAAGATGACGACGAGCCGGATATGAAGTGTGACGACATGATGACAGTGAGTACCCATCAGCCATGGTCACAAGGCCTCATTGGAAGAGATGAGCCACAGGCGTGGTTGGCAAAACAAACAGCTGTGGCATTTGAGCAGAAGAGACTAGGTGTCATCTGTCCTGGGGAAATGGAGGTGATGGTAATGGGTGTCATCACACCATGGAAGACAAGGGGTACCAGTATTTCTCTCACTTTGGGATGAGGATTAGGCAAGCTGTGAGTGAGCACATCTAAATTTCATGGCAGTAAATCTTTGGTTTTCATCTCTGAAAACTGGGAGTGAAGTTCTAAGGATCAGACCCTTAGTTCAGCCATCCACTGAGCTTCTTTCAAAATAGCTACCAAAGGCTAAAGAGCCTGGCACAGCTGGGGTAACACACACATGGAGGTGGCAGTAGCATCTTCTAGGGTTCATCACAATCTAATTTCAGGGAAAGACATGCTAGGTAAAGGTCTGTGAGCATTTCTCTATAAAAGGTAATGCTTATTGGCTAAAACTCCCCTTATGCTATCTTGGGACAAGGACTCTCACAGGACAGCAATGCCCATCATTAGATCACCAATGTAACCAGTACCTGGCTTCAGGCGGCTCCTTGCTCTGGACTTGCCTTTTCTCTGCGAGCCTAAGCCCTCTGGTGAGGTAAAGGATAAGGGTGCCCGGCTAAATGAAGCAGTGCTCAGATGAGTAGAAACACGTGCCAAACAAAGTCGATTGCAGGTTGAGTGTGTTGAATGGTCCTTATCCAAATTCTTGGGACCATAACTGCTTCAGATTGGGGGATATCTGCATATATGCTATGCCTTAAAAAGTGGGGCCAAAAATCTAAACATGAAATTCATCAGCTCCCTCTGTATTTTAAATCCAGAGTCTGAGAGGAATTGTACACAGTGTCTTTAGAATGCTTGTATTTTGACATGACATGAGGTCAGGTGTTGAGTTTTTTGACCTGAGGAGGTGTCATGACAGCATTTGACCAGTTTTATCTTTAAAAGCATTCTGATTTCAGGTTAGGGATGCTCAACCTATATTTAAGATTCTACAGAAATCCTTGACAAATATACAGGTGATAAAGAAGCAGAAAGAGTCTAAAATCCAGGCTGGCACTCTTGAAATTCAGTAAGACAAAATCGATAGCTGGCATATGTCATACCATCAGACCTTAACAACCTTTATATGCATCACAATTCAAAGTAGGTTTTCAAAAATGTAAGAATCTTTTGATCCTGGTAGACAGCAAGCTAGGTGCAGTGGACAGCAGAGGCCAGCATCACTGAAGAAAGTCCCTGCTCCCAGTTCAGGATTGTCATGGTTAAGTCTGTAGTGTGAAATGAGCATGCTCCTAGAGAGCCATGTACCTTTCACCTAAAGTGCCACCCCCATCTTCCCTAGTGCTACCTCTTCCACATGTATGTGGGAGTGAGAGCGGGTGGCGGCATTGGTGATGAAATTGAAGACCCCGCCGGTGACCCTTACGAAATGTATCGCATCGTCTTTGACATTACCTTCTTCTTCTTCGTCATTGTCATCCTGCTGGCCATCATTCAAGGTAGGGTTGTCAACTACAGTACGCAGGACCTGGATTAAATAAATCTAGTTTTGCTTTTCTACATCCATCAAGTGATGGTTTTATAAAGAAGTTTTTTTCCTAATTCATCTAACTTGTCAATTTAACAACTCATTGAGCACTTATTGTCTGTGAAGCCTTGTACATATAGAGCCAAAGAGCCACCCAGACAATTCCAAGAAACTTGAGAACATGCACAGAGTACTCCTCACTCTAAATTACGTCTTCATCCCTTCTGCTTCCTAGATGTCTCCTGTGGCTTGCTTTACCTGTCTTTGTTCTCCCATACAGAGATGTGGGGAAGCAGGAGAGAAACAAGCTATAAAAATATGACATGGCTTACTGTTTTTTAGAGTCGATAGGAAAGTACTGATATTTTAGTCAACAGCTTGCTAGGAACTGAAGAAGGAAAGATGATGAATTTCGTTTGAGTCATGCTGAAATGTGGTACTGATATTTAAGTGTTGAGGGCTCAGAAGCAAATGAGGGAAGACACTGATCAAAGACAAAGAACACACTGATCGATATCTGAGGGATCAGGAGAAGGCGGCGTTAAGGGAAGTAGTTGTCAGTGCTGAAGCACAGGAAGAGAAGTAATGAAAACTGATTAGCCAGGACCAAGTGCTTGGAAACACAGCTCTTTCTCCCTTTAATTTTGCTATAATTGACCAGCTCAGCTTGATAATTCACTTTTTTGACAAATCAAAATGGCCTCTGCCACTTCTCCCCAAGACCATGGTGCAAGTGAAGGTATTTGTATTTAAATACAAATCTTTTGTATTTAAAAACCCAGGTCTGATTATTGACGCTTTTGGAGAGCTGAGAGACCAGCAGGAACAAGTACGTGAAGACATGGAGGTACTGTTCTTTCTACGTATTTCAACCCCACACAGGTTCCTCAAACCACAGACTGGGCTATTAATTAGGGTCGTCCCTAAGCAAAACTACTAAAAGGTTTGCTTCCCGTGCCTGTTGTCACACTTCCTCTGCACCAGTCTACCAGCCCTGGGCACTAATGCCCTGTGTGCTATAACCTCCCATGCCTGACACACTGCTGCCTCCTGTCTCATAACCGGAGGGAACAGCACCTTCAGCTAGGAAGGTGGGACTGTAAGTAAATGCCTGATAGCCAAGGCATTAAACAGGAAAGCAGCTTTCCATGTCCCCAATTCAAATGGCTGTCAGCGTTTTTCCTCTCTGTTGCTATGCATACTAATGCCTTTTCTATTTTTGTTGCTGTTGTTGTTTGATTTCATAGACCAAATGCTTCATCTGTGGCATTGGCAATGACTACTTTGATACAACCCCTCACGGTTTTGAAACACATACGCTGCAAGAGCACAACTTAGCCAATTACCTGTAAGTATCTTGGTTAAGGATGTCGTCTTTAGGGCAAACCAAAACAACTCTGTCTCAAAGTTTAGTCTGCTCGTGTTGTTTCTCCCTTTCTGTTTGAAGAGGTAGCCATGATCAGTAAAGGCGCCTGTATGAGCCAGAGTCATTCTCTCTGCTCTTCGTTGGAAACAATTGTGAACTCGTCCACACCTAGGCAGCCCAACTCATGTCTAGGCCCCATTCCTCTCAATAGCACGTATCTCCAGCAATTCTCTTTACATCCTTAGGAATGTCCACTTTTACCTCCAGCTATTGTCCAGGCTTACTGCCCCCACCTTTTCCCTTTCTGTTCTCTGTGAATGCCTTACTAAAAGGCCGCCTTTCCCCACCATATCACAAGATTATGTTGTATCAAGTAGGTGCAGTCAGATTCATGCTGATGACCAGTTTTTAGACATTCTGTCTGCTCTGCAGCTTCCATTAAATTCTGTGAAAGTAGGATATTCTGGGGAATGTTTAATGTTAGCAATGCAAATAATAAAAATATTTCACTTTTCCTAGGGTAAAGCATTTACTCAAGTTATTGGAACCTATTCAGTACCACTTATAGGGTATATTAATTATATGACCTGATTATTCAGACTCCAGAAAGTGTGATTCTCAAGGGGAAAGTGATCTACTTGTTCTTCCTGCATTTCGTTCATATCTCACTCTTTGGGATAAAACAGGCCAAAGCTAGTGTTGAGTTTCTTTTTAAATAACCACCATCCTTTCCCTAGTATCATGAGTATTTACCATGGTCATTTCTCATTAAGAGGGCTCTCAGTCAAGATACAGAAGTTAGCCCACAGCCCTGTGGCAGGCAGCACCAGGGAATGATAGACTAGAAGATGTTAGATATCTGGGTTGGGATTCCCTTTCATGATACCCTGGAACACTCTATATGGTGATCTGCCAGCTAAATAAATGTGCCAGGAAGAGAAGAATGTTTCACCGGCCCAGGGCTTCAGTATGATAGAAATATGAAATTCTCTATCTTGGGAGAGAGAAAGGAAGAAGCCGTCATAGTTAGAGCCGTTTCTGTGTGCCAGGACATAAGATAAAAATAGTACTGCCCTGTAAGACTCAAGGTTTGGGGCTCTGCTACATGCAAGATATTTTCTCGACCTTCTCTTCCTTTACCAGTGTCACATTTTCCTTTCCTAAAGGGCATGAGACCGGTTTTTCTAGAAACCATCTCTGGAGTTGTATAATATGAACTGAGAGTACAGCCCCCCTGGGACACTTGTGTGTCACAGACAGACTCAAATCTTTGATACAGATCATTTAGCACAAGTGAAACCACACCAACTTTCCCCAGTTTTCCACAATGAAAAACAAAGCGATACTTCTGGAAGGAGCATGAACTGAAAGTAAATCCTGTCCACATTTTTCATGACTCATCCCTGATGTGTGATTTCAAGTCAAATTTTTATTACATGATACACTGGCCTATTGATAGTTTTGTGGTAAAGGGTCCTGCCCCCCACCTTTTTTGTGGTAAGAAAGATAGTTTGCAAGTGGGCTTAGCTCAAATTTTGGGGGATTAAGAAGGCTCTCCCTCATTGGCTTGGAGATGAGCATCGATCATCATTAGAAATGCTTCCTTGATTCTTAAAGGCTTCTTAAGTTTTCAAACCATATTTCCAGTTTCTCTTAGTAAACAGTGTTAGATAGTTTGAGTAAGAAGTACCTTGGGCTGGAAGGATGGCTCAGCTGCTAAGAGCCTTGTTGCTTTTGCAGAGGACCCAGGTTCAGTTCCCAGCACCCACCCAGGCAGCTCACAACTGCCTGTAACTCTAGTTCCAGGAGATCTGATACTCTCGTCTGGACTCTGCTGACTCTTACAGGCACACAATATAAATAATTTTTTGTTTGGTTTTAGTTTTTTGGGGTGGGGTGGTTTTCAAGACAGGGTCTCTCTACATACCCCTGGCTTTTCTGAAACTTGGTCTGTAGACCAAGCTAGCCTCAAACTCAGAGGTTCACCTGCCTCTTTCTCCCGAGTGCTAGGATTAAAGGTGAGCACCACCATGCACACTCGTTTGTTCGTTTTTTATTTAAAAACCTCTACCCTTCCCCCATTTGTTCTTTTTCCAGATTCTTTCTGATGTATTTGATTAACAAGGATGAAACAGAACACACGGGTCAGGTAAGAAACAAACTTTTTAACTAAGTCTTGAAACTGGGTAGTACACTTTGGGATATCTGAGGCTATTAATCTCTTAGATGCATTTTTTCCATCACCCTTTCTGTTACTTAAGAAGTGAGAATTTTATGGTGACTTCAGTCTATTCTCCAAGTTCTCCTTGAAAATCCTTCCCAACAAACACTGACATTTTCCAAACCATTGTGTTTACTGCTTCCGTATAAAATAGCTGGAGGTGGGAGGACAGTAGAGAGAAAAAGACAACGAAAAACGGAGTGGGTGGCTGTAACAAAGAGCAGGAGATTCAGAGGAAGACAGTGGGAGAGACAGTGTAAGAAAGAAGGGCCTTGTATGTGGGTGACAGCAGGAATGTGGAGGTGTGGTGGGAGCGGATGAGTGAGCAGCTGTGTCAGGTAATTCTGTGACTGACTATGAAAAGGAAAGGTGGAAAACAGCAAGAAAAGCCTAGTTACTCAACATTCAAACGTCAATGAATAGGAAAACTTTATGGCGCAAACACTCGGGTTTCAGATCGGGCCTCAGGTAGCATGAAATGTCCCCTCAACCCGCATTCTTCTTTAGTTCCCTGTTTACAATTGGCATGGGATTGAACAGCTAGAGGAGGCAAGAGAACAGGTTTTCCTCCTCCACTCTTCCATGATGGAAAGACGTGACTTCTTGCTCACAAAACCAAGTGAGCTAGGAAGAGCATGGATGGAAAGATGTGACTTCTTGCTCACAAAACCAAGTGAGCTAGGAAGAGCATGAGAACATGCCCATGTGGCCTTGCATCAGTTCCCATAGGTCTTCCTAAAGCAAATCACACAGAGCAAAAAATAAACTGATTTTAGCTTATTGTGGTTTTAACACAAAGTACCCTTTGCTTACACTGTTTCAGGAATCTTACGTGTGGAAGATGTACCAGGAAAGGTGCTGGGACTTCTTCCCAGCTGGCGACTGCTTTCGTAAGCAATACGAAGATCAGCTCGGATAAGTCTGAGTTCAAGACAAGCCATGATTCTGGACAGTCACCTTCTAATGAAACAGAATCCTTTTTTTATACTTCTTTAAAAAAAAAATCTATATTTGGAAATTGATTTGGCATCTGTGCCCAATGGACAAAGGATGGCAAACCGTCAAGGATTCCACCCGGCTGCTCACAGGGCTCCCAGTTCTAAGAACCCAGTCTAAGAGTTGAACTAGTTTCTTGGAATAGTTCAGAGAAATACGAAGTCTTGAACACCTAAATGTCATGCAAGAGGATGCCAGCCAGGGACTAATCGGGAGACCTACACAAAATTATGTTCAATTCATGTTAACTGCAACCTAATTTTTCCATGGTACTTGCTAGTGACTCTATCCAGAATCAGCTTGAGAAGCTTTAAGCAGCTAAAGAAATAGAAAACAAACACTTTGTCGAAACCGAAATATCGATTAAGTGCCTTACAAATCTCTTTAGATATAGCTATGCAAGTTTTTTATGTTTGTGTTCCGGAAGGACAACTCCATTAAACAGCTGTGCTGCTATTCTGTCTTACTTTATGAAACTGCACCTGAAGGTTATTCACATCATTTCTTCACTAACAGCTTCTCAACTGCTGTTAGTTGAAGAAAGGCACTGTACTGAAATTTCAGAAAAATCTCAACCTTATACCAAACTTGAGTGATGCTTTATGGTCCCATGTAAGTAGTGGAGCTGCTGTGTTTTAGGTCAATCTCCTCCAATAAAGTCAAGTGCCCACTGCAATAAAGTAACACATGCCAGTTCACGGTTTGGCTTCTCGTCATGGACCACTTCAGTCATTCCACAACATCCTGACTGCTGGAGTCAGGGGCAGGAGACAAGCAGCCCACGGGCTTCATACCACAAGGAAATGTCCATAGATCAGAGGGTGTTTATTTTGACCAGCTGCATCCCTCGTTCCTTGTGTATAGTCCCTTAACTAGCACCTGTTAGTCTGTAATATAGTCAGGAAGGAGACTGAAAACATAGCTGTGACACCCCGGTCCTTAAAGAAATCTATTAGGTGACTAAGCCAGATAACAACAAAACAAAGCCCCAAGCAAGCCTCATACATGTATTCAGATGCCATCAAAAGCAGAGGTAGGCATTGACTGCTGCAAGCGTAACAGTACATGTTAGCATGGGGTATTCTGGTAAACTAGCCCACCCTTACTTAGTTTGCTTCAGGCACATTCCCCCCCAGTCCCCCTCCTCAGGAAATCATGCTGTCCAGCCAGTCTTCCAGCTCTTCCTCAGTGACATTTTTGGATGTGCTCATATGTTCAGGTTCCACATTTTTCTCTCCGGTCATAGATGGTTTTTCAGGAACTATGGAAATAAAATCAACATTAGCCACCTCACATCAATTACAATAGTGAGGGTTAAGGCTTCCTGGGGGTTTGTTTGAGGATATACTTCAGCCCAAATTACTACTTTCTCCACAACAAGCAAGAAATTCTCATTACTGTAACTCCCTAAGATACAATCAATAGTATCTAAACAAAATAAGCAAAGGTACAGACTTGCTCTTCTATTTATACTGAAGATGAATTTCACTGCTCACTGGTGTTGTGGAGTTTGTTCTAACACAAAGACCAACAGCATAGCTTAGTGTCCTTTTCCTTTGGGGGCAATCCTGAAACATCATAATGACTCTCGAGTACTGTATGTGACAGTTACCACATTAGAAGGGCTACTAGCTCACAAAATATTTACATGATGTAAACATTCTTTTGCTTTAAAAAAAAAAATCTGCTTCCAGCCTGTTCAGTCGATTAAAAGGTCTTCTACTGAAAGGCTTTTACAGCAGTTCAATTTGCAGCTCTAAATTTAATACTGCAACTGGGCTGGTAGCCACTTTGGAAGCCTAAGATATATTGAGTAAGAGAAACTGTCAGAAAGGTCAAAGCAGGGGAAGCTGTGATTTGCCCAGGGGAAGAGATGCCTGGGACATGGCTAAATCGATGTCAGACACAGAGGGGTATGCATAGGTGATGATGCATAGGGCTGTTCCCATAAAAACACCAGAACTGAGAAGATGAACAGGAAATGAAATGACAGCCATACCTGTTTCCTCCTGGGCCACCTGCTCCTCTCTTTCTGGTTCCTGGTCCTGAGACGTCTGGTCCGGACAGATTCGGTCCTCCTCCTTCACAGGTGCATCTAAATGCAGCAGCATGTCCAGTTCATCTTCCAGATGGTCTGCCACGGACTGTGGTGGGAAGGGGGCTTTCTGCAAACCCTCTAGAGGGTTTGGTCTTAAACTGTCTTTGCCCAGAGACCTGGGACAACTACCCACAGCAGATCTGAGCTCGGAGATGGGCCCCCTTAACTGCATGCCCAGCTCCTTGCCGTCATCATTTCTCCTTGGTTTCACCTGTGGAAGTTCCAAAGGAATTGTGGTCTGAAAAAGAAGCATGATGTCAGAATTTAGTAGAATCCTTGTTTTTGCTTCAGCACAAGAAGTCAAGGAAGCCATACAATCTTGTAGGTAGGAAACTCAATTCAGACAGCCTACAAAGGACCTCCTGTTGGAGCCCCACTGCAGACCTCTTCCTGACCAACCCAGGGTGAATGAAGAGACTATGTGAAAACATCACAGGGCTGTGCCTCCCACTCTACTCCCATCTAATATGTGCTAACTAGCCCCGAGGTGGAATTAAAAGCCCACATCTTCTTATCCCTGGCCTGAACGCTGACTGTACCACATGTCTATTTGAATTGATACTTAAGTCTATAAAGAAGAATGGCCTATCTGTAAAAGTTACTAAGTAGTAATTGGCCAAGTAGACTTGGTCACTGTGCTTAGATGACAGGGCAGAATCACTTGCCAAGAAGAAAAGAATTCAACCGTGATTTGAATATAAAATGTCAAATGTGAAGAAAATCAGACTATTTGGCTACATTTATAGAACATTCAAAACGAGGTAAAACTATAGTAATAGAAGCCAGGTTAATGGCTGTCTTGTGGGCAGATGGGGATTTAAGGTATGTGTGGTGGCCTCAGAGGAACTGACAATATTCTGACTCTTGAATGCTGATTCCACAGTTACACATACTTATCTGTACATTTGGCCCTATCTGTGTTAGGCTTCAAAAACTTCCCAGATGACTGTGACAAGGTCTCAGCCTAAGGTTGAGAAACCGTCTTTTGGGGTAAGGCCACAGGGATGGCAAGGGCCCACAATGCATAGGCTAGAAAGTGTGCCCTATAGCAATTGATCCCTACTCTTACTTAAAGACCCAAATTGCTAGTAACTCCTCAGAAATTTACTTCAATATAGCCTTATGAGCATGAACTAGACCAATGTCCAGCATTGCAGTGTATAAAGCGAAGCCAGGGCGTGGGCCTCTATGCTAATCCTACAACCACTTCATAGATCTCTGTTATATAGATCTCTGTGAGAACCTGGAAGTTGTTTTCCTCATTTTTCAACCTCCTAGGTGATACGAGCACAGTTGAGAACAGACCTGAAGTCTATGGATATGAGTGTGTGTGTGTATGTGTCTGAGCTAGGGTCTCTCACCTGGACCCAGGTGACAACTTTGTGAAGATGGCTTACCTACTCTGCCTTTGTACAGGAGCGCACAGACACAGCCATGAATACACACTCCAACCGCTCAGCCTGCTTTCTAGTCCCCCAGCACAGTATTTACTATGATCATTTTCATTAATGCGGACCTGCCTGGGTCACCATCTCCTTTCATTGCTACTCAAGTAATCTTACAACTCAGACCTCAGCTTACCCACTGTTTCCTGAGGAAAGCCAGTCCTAGCCACACCAGGATACATCAGGTTTATTACTACAAGCTCTTATGGCACACTGTAATTCACATAACTTATCATTTCTATGCATCTGTATAATTACTTCATTAAACTGATTAGTATCAATATTTTCCAGTAGATTGAGCTCAGGGAAGGAGGAACCACATCCACCTGCTCACCACTATGTGCCTAGTGCCAACTCAGAGCCTGATACCTGAATATTCTGTGGTAATAGCTAGACTTTATAGTCCTTCTTGCATCCAATTCTATTAATTTGATCCATTAAAATATGTCATATATAAAATATAACAGTAACTTCAAACAACTGTTTTGTTTTCCTTCAAACTTTACAAGGTGACATCTCAATATGAGGCCTCAGCTGCTGATGAGAAAAGTTCAGGCTGAGACACCCTGCAGGCTCTATTCTTCCCTCTGGTCCTTCCTCTGTCCCAACCCAGCCAGTAGGTAGACTCTGATTTTACCTGGATCAAGTCCGCAGCAACGTTAAGCCGGACTGAGAGGGGCAGCTGTTGAAGGGCTCGAACCAGTGACTCACTATCCACATAGAGTGCTGAATTCTAGGTAGTAAAGTAAGTGTACATAAGTCATTCACTGGAGTTACTTTTGTCTGGGAGTCCAATAATAAATCCCATCTAATGAGCTTCAATGGCTCTCTACCAAACAGTGCGCCCACAGCTCGCTCACTCAGAGACACAGATAGGGCAGTGGTCACCACCACACCAAGCTGATACCCGCCTCTCTCTCCCTCTCTCCCTCCCTCCCTCCCTCCCTCCCTCCCATAGATGCATGCACTGGCATCTCACCATAAAAGAATGTGAGAAAAACCAGGTGTGTAGTGGCACAAGTCTATAACCTCAACATTTGGTAGACAGACACAGGAGGGTCAAGAGTTTAAGGTCAGGCTGGGAAACATATGAAATTCTTTCTCATAGATCTTCAGAGGGAAAGTGGCACCTAATCCATTCCTTACTCATGAACACAGCAAGGACCATGACTAAACCTACAGCATGAACACAGCATGAAACCTTTGTGGTTTAAGGACTGACTGAAGGCCTTCTATGATACTGTTTTTATTTTATACATTTATCCTACTAAATGAAGGGTAATAAAGGTACAAGGTTAGGGAAGGAATGTCAGGGAAAGATGAGGCTGGCAAAAAAAAAAAAAAGAAAAAAATAGCAAAAATCATACCCATTAATTTCCTACTTCACAACTCAACCTATGAGACATTCACAGATGGCCTAATGAACTCAAGCTTGAAGGACCTTATCATCTAGTCTCTTACACATTCTCTCCAGAGCTGGTAGCGGAGAATAAAATGCATATGGGTTACAGCTCTTTTCCACAAGATTCATCTCTGCTATAAAGGAAAGGTGCAGGGCCTTGGTCTTGAGACATTGAAGACACACTTGTCTTACCTGCTTTGGACATGAAGTTTCACCATCCCATTCTTTCTCCTCAGCAAATCGGAACTGTGAGAAGGAGTCCCCTAGGAACAGAAAAAAATATGTATATAATATACATACACATATATAATTTTATATACTCACATATATATACACATACATATAATTTTACACAGAAGACACCCAGTTTCTCTGTTTCCATTTTAGAGCACAAGTGACATTCTGAATAGTTAACCTTCCCAAATACAGTGACACCATCCTGCAAGTCCTGGCCCCAGTGCATATATCTGGGCTCTGGAAAATGCTGTTGACAGCTACACTTCATTCAGTTTTCACTCAATAAACCACCATTCCACACGTCAAGGGACAAGCAAACAGGCCTGCAAACAGGGCCATTTACCCATATCTAGTCTATCTCCATCTTTTCTGCTCAGTGTATGCAAAGAAGTTTGTATTTATGATTGGGGGGGCGCAGCAAGGCAGAAGAGAGAAGATGAGACTGAAGGACAGCATCTCTGGATTGACCCACAATGATAACAGACTATCTTTTTGATAAGTTATAATCTTAATAACCTCCATTATCACTCCAAATATCACCTAGTCACAATGTCAAACACAAGCTAAACTCAAAGTCCGTGCATTAGACCATTGTGTAAACCATAGTGCACTACTCTGAGTCTTGAGGTAAGTAACAACATATGATGGTAACATAAGCAAGCATTGAGAATGATCCTGGGCAGCAAGCTCTCTGCTCTGCTACAAGGCTTGCTTTGAACATGCATATGCATCTGAGAATTTTCATTAATAATCATTACACATGAAAAATTCTCTCTCTAGCTTTCACAAGGATATAAAATTTGGTCCCACTTCATTTACTTTCTATCTCCCCAGGCAACCTGTTTTTGTACTTTCATGCAGACAATTCAATGCTCCATCTCATCTTCTTGTCCTGAAGACCCACATGCCTCTTGCCCTTCATCTCCTACCTGTATTTTAAAACTCCATCACAGGCCACCTCTTCCCTGTGTGTTACCACCCAGGTGATAGAACCATGGGATTTATTCTTTTCTTTCGATTAACAGAGTGGGGTAGAGAGAATTCAAAACGGAAGAGGGAGACAAAGGTAAAAAGTAGAGAAAGGACCAAAAGTGGAGAAGAGTCAACACATTTCGTTGTGGGTGAACCAACCTGATAATTCAAAATTCTTAAAATAAATGAAGTCTTATGTGTCCATATATGCACGCATCTATTGTGATTCTCCGTGCTTACTGTATAAAATGCCTCTGCAACATCATTTTTACCTATATTACTTTTTATCAGGAGAAATGAAACTGGAGAGTAAGGATACAGGCGAGAGTTATAAACTAATACAGATCTACCCAGAAGCTTGGAGGAGAATTCTGCAAGAAAAAGTTGAAGTTTTAAATACCTTCGTTTCTAAATAAAGAACAAAGGACAAGAATGCAATTGTTCTATAGTTAGTGGGGAAAAACAAAACAGAAGCACAAAAAAAGAGCCAACTTTCTATTCTTCCGGCAGTAAAGCGGCTGGAACCCAATGCTTTGTGCTTGCTAGGCAAGTACTTTACCAGGGTTATACCCACAAGCCTCCTTTTTTTTTTCCTTAAAGAAGTATGCACATCAACCAATCTTACATAAGTAACAGAAAGCCAGGAGAATTGTCTCCTAACAGCGGGATCAGGGGCTGTCTCTGACTCTGTTACCTGCTTTGGGGACCCTTTCCTTCACTGGGTTGCCCTGTCCAGCCTCAACAGGAGAGGAGGTGCCAGTCTTACTGCAACTTGATATACTATGGCTGACTGATATACATGGGACACTGTCCCTTTCTGAAGAGAAAAGAGGAGTAGTTGGGGGAAAAGAGGAAAGGTTCAAGGGAGGACTGGGAGAAGAGGAAGGGAGGGGAAACTGCGATTGTGCTGGAAAAATATTTAATTACTTTAAAAATTAAAAATTAGCGCATATAAATACACACACACACACACACACACACACACACACACACACACACATATTCAGGTGGGCTAGATGGCTCAGCAGGTAAAATGTATTTGCCACCAAGCCTGATTATCTGAACTTGATCCTCTGGGACCAATATGGTGAAAGAAGAGAACTGCCTCCTGAGTGCTGGCCTCCTCTGACCTCCACACACTCTATGTGGCATGTGTGCCCAGACACATAGACACAGACACATACACACACCTGAATAAAATAAATAGATATGGCTAGGCATGGTTGTATACACCTTGAATTCCAGCACTTGGGACACAGAAGAAGGTGGAACTCTGAGTTCTAGGCCAACCTGGTCTACATAGCAAATCCTAGGCCAGCCAGGGCTCTACCATGAAATCCAGCCTCGAAAGAAAGGGGGGGGGGGGGGATAAAGTGTGTGTGTGTGTGTGTGTGTGTGTGTGTGCATGCAAATACATGCGAGTGTGTGTGTGCATGCATATATTAATTTCACTGTCACAGCCAGTGCAACTAAAGAAAAGAATGAATTATCAATACTAGAAAAATAAAAGAAACCATGACAATCTGAAGAAAATAGACTGTTACTATTGTACTAGGAAAATCCAAAGGAATGAGTAGGAAAGGCTTCAGAAAATTTATAATAAAAATAAGCAGCTCTCTTAAAATCCAGTTGAAAGTAAAATAGAAGAACCTAACATGAATATAAACAGAATTTCTAGGAATAAAGCATAATAAACATTTATTAAAAGCAACTACTTCAAACTTTTTACCAAGGGAGATGAAAAACAAATTTATCTAATCTACAAAATCAATGTTCATTTCAAATCTCAAAAAGATTTATCAAATCATTTTTTAAAAATATGTAAACCAAGAAATAAAAGGTAGATTTATTTGTTTTTAAGACAAGAGTCTATGAAGCCCTCACTGGCCTGGAACTCACTATGTAGACAAAGATGGCTTCAAACTCAGGGATCCACCTGCCCCGTCTCCCAAGTGTTGGGATTAAAGGCGTGGACCACATCAGCCTTTCAAAGGGTGAAGAATTTGTCTTCAATTTTAAAAATGCATTCAAAAATCTCAATGAATAAAATAGAGAGCTACTCATAAAATAGGAAAGTGCCGAAGAGACCCAGGCGTGTGGACATTCAGACAACAGCAGAACATGGTATCTGTGGAGAATCAGTCTTTATTGGAGCTAAAACATCCCATTTCCAATACTCAAAAACGTATTTTGTGTGGTTCAAAGACGTAGACATTTGGGGAAGGCAAAACGACAAACAAGGCTGAATTTTGAAGTTAGAGAAGTATACATTAAATTCCACAAAATTAAGATATAAAGAAATTATCTTAGGTCTTCTGTGACAATAAAACCAAACTCAAAGATGACACAGTGACAAGAAACATTTCCAGCACAGACACACAAAGAGCTATTGTTTCTAATATAGAAACAGACTCTGCAAGTCAATCAGAATAAAGCAGCCCAGGAGAAAAGCAGGCCAAGAGAACGGTATATGAAGAAAGACGGCTGATAACATATGCAATAATTAAAAACCGATCTTGGAGTTTTTTAAATTAGCCAACAGCTGACTGCTTTATCCAATGCTGTTTTGTCATTACTATGTGTGTGGGTGCATGTGTGTTTATGGGTGCACATGTGTGCATGGGTAAGTGGAAGCTGGGGGTCAGTCCTCAGGCTGCTCACTTGTTTTGTTTGTTTGTTTGTTTGTTGTTTTTTTTAAGATTAGCTTTATCACTGACCTGGAACTTCCAACCCAGGGTAGACTGGCTGTCCATTGAGACTAAGGGATCCACTACCCCTGCCTCGCCAGCACTAACATTACATGTGTGTATCCCTGTACTCGGCATTTTCTTTTTAAGTGGGTTCTGGGGGTCAAACTCAGGTTCTCAGGCTTGAAGCACTTTGCTGACTAACCCAATTCCACAGCCCCATTCATGTAATTCATGAACTTCCATATACAACAAATAATCATAAGACCTTATAGATTATAATATACAATCAGGATAAGGCTCAATAACAAGGCATGCTGTACTTATTTTTAATATTTTAATAATTTTAAATACCAACAAGAATTTAATAATGATTAGCTAACTTGTTGTAAATCAATCTTTTTGTAAATCAATCTGAGAACTAGAAGAACTGCCCTCCCCACAAACAAATCCCATCTGAGGAAATCAGAGCACTCTGAAGATATAACCCAAGTATCCAGAGAGAAGAGAAGCACACAGGCAGTCAGGTGCCTTCGAGGACTGCTCTCTGCTCCCTGCACTTGCCAGTTCTCCACAAGGGATCTTGGAGGTAGCAAACAACAGCCTAGGAGGTGCGAAGCTGGGAGAGCATCTCCTCATCTTCCACATGAATGGCACAAACAGGAGTTTAGAACCACAGAGGCACAAGAGTTGAAAAGTCAAGGTTTCCAGGTAGGGTCCCAAGTCCTGCATGCTAGAAGCAGGGCATATCTAACACCTGAGCAAACCTTATGCTAGAGACTGGCTGTGAGAGGGTGGCAAGCCTAAGGCTGTGAGCGAGTGCAAGCCTAAGGCTGTGAGCGAGTGCAAGCCTAAGGCTGTGAGCGAGTGCAAGCCTAAGGCTGTGAGCGAGTGCAAGCCTAAGGCTGTGAGCGAGTGCAAGCCTAAGGCTGTGAGAGGGTGCAAGCCTAAGGCTGTGAGCGAGTGCAAGCCTAAGGCTGTGAGTGAGTGCAAGCCTAAGGCTGTGAGAGGGTGCAAGCCTAAGGCTGTGAGCGAGTGCAAGCCTACGGCTGTGAGCGAGTGCAAGCCTAAGGCTGTGAGAGGGTGGCAAGCCTAAGGCTGTGAGCGAGTGCAAGCCTAAGGCTGTGAGAGGGTGGCAAGCCTAAGGCTGTGAGCGAGTGCAAGCCTAAGGCTGTGAGAGGGTGGCAAGCCTAAGGCTGTGAGAGGGTGGCAAGCCTAAGGCTGTGAGAGGGTGGCAAGCCTAAGGCTGTGAGAGGGTGGCAAGCCTAAGGCTGTGAGAGGGTGCAAGCCTAAGGCTGTGAGAGGGTGGCAAGCCTAAGGCTGTGAGAGGGTGGCAAGCCTAAGGCTGTGAGAGGGTGGCAAGCCTA